GATTTCCCAAAATGCTTTTAGCCTTAAAACAAAATACTGGAAAGAGGATAGGCTCATGTAACCAAACATGGTAATAAGAAAGCTTGGAGCTTATGATCTCACATGCATGAAGCGGTGTGACCAGAGAAATGTTAAAAGTAATGAACTGGCTGTATTCTCAGGCTTTTTTAAAGTTTTTTTTAAAGTTTTCTCTGACTGAACCACATGTCTTACATCTTTGATTAATACAGACATGCAAACGCCGAATCCCTTTGGTGAGTTATCTTTGATTTGTAATTTTGAAAAAAAAATGTGTGAATTTGTGCGACTGTGTTCTGGACTTTGCGGGGCACAGGAGATTGCAAATTTGTGGAAGTGATGAAAAGGATTACATTATTATCCTCAAGGAAAAAGAAAAAGTAGCGAGTGGAGCAGAGTTTGCAGTGAGTCAGCCCTGTAATTAAACAGGAGCGATCAATCTGTACCACTGACCACACTACTTATGCCAAGCCCATCGAATGGCTGCAGTAAAGAGCTAATTTAGAACCATTAGGGACTGCCGAGTTTGCAAACAGCCCAGTAATGATGATGGCTGATTCAAGTTCAAGGCTTGGCCTCTGTCAAACCTGGCAGTCACGAAACAGGGATCAGTGGAAGATCTTGGATAAAGAGAAAAAGCACATTTTTCCTTTTGAATTAATTTTTTCCAAGCTGGTCATTTGTATTCAATGGATGTTGGCTTATTGGTCAAATCTGCGCAGGAAAAAAAAAGGGGCTTTCACCTGGCAGGGAAAAAGAGCACAAAAGTTCCCTCTTTTGATGGTCTTATTGTGTAATCAAGTCCAAGTTCCCTTTTTGCCTAGAAGAGTGTTTTTTTCATGTCCTTTCTGTGGTGGTGATTTTTTTTAAAAAGCTAAAAGAGCCAAAGCTGAAAGCCATGTGCAAGTTGCAGGAAGCTGCTTCAGTCCAGGCTGCCATAGCCTGTCTGTGCATACAATAAGACCTCAAACACAATGGAGGACAGGCAGATACAAAAGGTGTGGGTGCAAAAGGATGGAAGCAGCCAGCCATGTCCTTCTTCTTGTCTGTTCACTATTCACCCTCAGTGCCTCACTGGCAGGCAAAGCCTCCAGGGGGGGACATGACCCCAAAGTGTAGCGGTGCTCTGTTTGGTCTTTCCCTGACCTCTTCTCTCCCATGTAGCTCCTCTATGCACAGAATCATAAACTCATTTTGTGCACTGTTCACTCTGACAGCCCCTTAAAGGAAAACATATGGCTGAATAACAGCGGACAACTGAGACCATTAAAGGTCAAAGGGAGGCAGTGAGTTACAAAAACAATGTGCGACGACATCACCTGGTTCATTAGTGGTGTCACCTTCTGACCCTTGTTGCAACTATTTGTGTTCATTTGTGAATAGGAGGAGAATTTCCTTCCAGGGAGAACTTTAAAAGCCTCTCTGCAATGTGAAAAAGAAATATCATCTCACTTGGATGTTTGGTGAATTTTCAAGTCTGAATCCTATCAGTTCCATACTGTCAGATTTCTCTTTCTAATCTTCTCCCTCTCCATAAAAAAAAAAACCTTTTATGGCTGCCCTATATGCCTGGCATTTATTCAAGTTTCAGTCGTTTTTTGAAAGAGAGTACTGACAGCAAATAAATGACAGTGGGTCTTTGCAATCATCTGCAGTTTGTTCGTTTTTCTATAGAATGGAGGAGCTGTGCGAAACTCCCAGTTCATTTTGTTTTACATTCTCCCTCTTTCATGTGCATACCTTTCTGTGGCTCTTAAAGGATACACTAATGTGATCTGCTTGACCTTGTTTCCAATATAGAAGACAAGAAGGTGACCACATTCTCACAGAGACTCTTCCTTATTTGCCTAGATCAGCACACTGCGAGTGCTGACCTGAGATTCCTCGCATCCAACCCTCTGCATATTTATGAAGACCAGATGAAAGGCAGCCAGTCAGAATTAACACTGCATTTCAAACTCAAATACAAAATAGGAATTAGTGAGTAGGGAAAAAAAAAAAAAGCTGATTTACCGGTCTAGTCGGTCAGAGCTATTAGTCTCGTCAGGTGCAGACTTCACTGTCCCCACACTTGTATGATTCACTCCTTACTCATTGTGAATGTGGGGGGACTGATGGGCATGACTGATAATTTGGACAACCATTGGTCTTTTTTTGTTGTTGCAAGGAACAGCGATTAGTCATAGGCTTGAAAGAGAAAAAAGTCCACCCCCATGCATTCATCAACCACAGCAGTTAATGATTAAGATTAGCTGTGATGTTACTGTGCATCACCAGTCTTAAAGTGGTGAGTCTTAGCTGCATCTTAAAGTTGTAGTCCCCAGTTTTTTTTCTGTTGAAATGAACTCACACAAACTCTACTTTTCATTATGTCTTAATATAATATTTTTGAATAAACATTTATAAAAATAATACATTATGTTTTTATATATGAAAAATGTCAAACTGCCATCAGAGTTCACATGCAGATGCTTTATCCACTCCTCAAATGTCATGTTTTGTAGCCATTTTTGGATGTGTCTTGGGGTATGAAGTTCATGGTTGTTGGTTTTTTAATGGCGATTAATCTCATAGTATTTTGTTCCTTCAGGGGCCCCGTGGATAGGCCTCCCAGCGTCTTCTTGTAGTGACAGTGATGAAAAAGAACGATACTGCTGTATTTTTCTCAAAATAAAAGAAGGGTTGAATTCAAACAGCAAGTCAAGTACTCTTAGCTTAAGTCTGTACAAATATCCAAAATACAATCCTAACTATAGCCATTTTTAAATGTGAAATAATGGAATTTCAAACGTAGAAATTAAAAATTAAAATTAAACTTCAGGATTAATTATGATTCAAAATTGTAATCGTTTCACAGGGCTGGCTATATAGAAGTACTTTGAGACTGTGGAGGAAAAAATGATAATTGGCATTTTTATTCATTGGATGAATACTTAAGGTATCATTAAAACATCTTTGATTATATCTGAAGAACAAACACGATTTTCAGTTTGATCATTTTAAAACACATTTAGAGCAACATAAAACCAACGCCAAGTTTTATAAAGTGACAACATGTCAGTAATTTTATTTAAAGGCAGAGAACATAGAATGCTAAAGACACACTTTTCTGACACAATGCACTAATTTATGTCGGCCATAAAAGAGCCTTTTTATTCCTATTGTCATTAAATGTACAAAACAATATGCCAAATTACATTTTCTCTCCTTTCATTCATCTCAGTCCTGTTTGACAGCATAAATCTAGCTCATAACAGCCTTCCTTCCAATCATGAGGCTTTTGCAGGGGAATATGGCAGCTGCCTGCAGCCTTTGATTTCATCTTGCCCCAGATCTGCATTGTAATGAGCACTCAGGTCAATCAATAATTCACTGCAGTTTCAGTTATAAAAAAAAAAGTGTGGGGGGGAACAGAACAGCTCATGAGGAAAAACAGGAAAAGAACTTTGATCAGTTCCATTCAGATACACATATAGCACTGCTGTGATGCTTTCTTCTCCGTGTAGTATTTGTGAAAGCTGAGATGGGGAGAAATCCGCCGAACATGTGTACATATGTGTGCGTCTGAGGGGGCTTATACACCAAAGCACGTCTAATACTGACATTGTAGGTCTAGCTGGGAAAACCACAGCTACCCACACTGATGGCAGAGTTGATTGTTATCTAGAGAGTCACGCTGTGGCAGCTTGTGCAAAGTGTTTCAAGCCTTAAAAAACACAGCAACCGTAGTTTTTCGATTAAAAAATGGTAAAATCTTTTTTCCCACTGTGAAGTAATTTCCCTCCCTGTATGAGTAGCTGTGGCTTGTATTTACTTTTTTAAAGAAAAATAAAGTGTATACAATGAACTAAAGTGTCATCCCTGTTTTGCATTGTAAGCACTCGTTAAATGCTAATTGACTGTGTGATGAGGGTTGGTGTCACGCAGTCAAATCCTTGCTGGTGCCATTTGTTGGGTTTTTGGTTCTCCTTATGATGGGTCAGGTTTTAAGCTTAATTTGCATTAAAAAAAAAGTTATTAAAAGCCTACGTGCCATGAGTCTGCCTTCAACACAGACTGTTAAAAGGAGGTGATAAATACCAACTATGAGTTTGTGAACCTGTCTATTAAAGCCAGGAGCTTGACATTTAGGCCATTGATATCTTGCTGACCAATGACCATATTTAGATGGATGATTATTATGCTATGTAACATGTATTTCCTGGTTGACAAGAATTACGCAGTAGCGACTTGTCAATGCCAAGGCAGCCACACTTTGTTGGGTCGGGACTCAGAGGTGGGTCTCAGGGCCATTTTCAGTGGGTCGCGAATGTGTGCTTGGAAAAAAAATGTCTGTACTTTAGTGACATCAACGTCTTTGTTTTGTTTTGTTTCTAGCTCCTGTCACATGATTTGTACCAACTGAGGTCTAAACTGCACAATTTGAGTAAATAAATCTGTTTGTTCTAAAAATATCATGAATTTGGGTTGTGATTTTTCATGGAGGAGTTGGTGGTTGGTCCTGAGGCTAGACAATTTGAGAATGTCTGCTATAAAGCATACCCAGCTTCAACTTTTGTTTCTTCTGATAACTGGGACCATTTAAACATATATACAGTATATCATACACTAAATTACTTGGGGTTGTGTAACATGCTGTAATAAATGTTCTAAGAAGTTGGTCAATCTGATTTCACACAATTCAAATTAAAACTGGAACCACTAGAGTCATCCCTTGAAAGCCATTAGATACAATGCAGGTTCAAGTGGCTTTTCTTGACCAGATGACTGAATCTCTTCTAAAATACAATCTATGGCAAACAAAAACAGCCAAAAAGGAACACAAACTGCAATTTAATACATGTATAGATTATTGGATGCTTGTGCACATTTAATGTAAATGTTGCAATACTCCTTGGTTTCTGACAAATGTGCTACAAATTCATTATCATATGGTTACATTAAAGCTAATGGCCTCTCTTTCTTTGTGTCTGATTCAACAGTTCCCCCAGAAGACCCAATCATCAGTGGAGGGCCCGTGGTGAGTCTCCGGGCTGGGGACCCGCTCAATCTGACCTGCCACGCTGACAACGCCAAGCCAGCAGCTTCAATCATCTGGATCCGCAATGGAGAGGTTCTAAATGGGGCCATGTACTCCAAGGTAAGCATAGAGGTGTGTGTCATACCAGGTTTGAACATTCACCGGGGATAGAGTGGGGGGGTGGAACGACAATCGAGGGTTGCTGTGCCTTCATCTTTGAGACCACTTTTTTTCATAAAAGTAATCTGTGAAAGGGTATAAAAACACCTGTTACTTTACACATCTGTATGCCTTGATCTGCTATAAATAACAACTGCGACTCCGCTAGACATCCATGAGATGCATCAGAATGACTGCCTGAGTCATTGGTGGGCGTTTTTCCTCAGCATCCAGACGGCTTTTTAAAATGCAGCTCCTTTTAAAAATCCAGGTTGTGTTTTGATTACAAAAAAGACGAGTGGTGTTTTTTTTTCTCTCCCAGTATACAAATGGGCTCAGACAAGCAGATGGCAAGATCATGGATCTTTCAGTGACTTTACATTTCTCTCTGGTGTTTTGATTTCCTCCTTCAGTGACATTTGTCTCTCTTCATCTTCCCGTCTTGTTATAAAATCCACCATGTCACTTCCAATGCTGGATTCCGCCTGAACCTTTTTCATGCTGAAGTATGATTCTCTCCGACAGATTGTGTTCCCACTTTTGATGCCACAGTTAGGCTGGAGCCACTGTTCACACCAGCCCGATGGCACGATCATCTGACCCCACAGACTCTCGACTGACAATCAACCTTTACACTAATCATGCAATCAACACTGTCATGTTCTATATTCATTTAAGCTGAGCACATAGAGACCAGGCACTTTAAAGCACTAACACCTCCCCCGCCTTGCTCGCTCGCCTCGCTCCCTGTGCTGCCTCATCCCATTATCGGCTTTTTACAGAGAGCAGATAAATGCCATTGATTGGACCGGGGTACGGCACCAGGCCGATTTGAATAAAGTGATTGCTGGAGGTGCTGCTCGCTAATGGTGGGCGGAGAGTGCCCTTCCTGCCTTTACTTCCTTCTCAGAGCGAGAAGCAGATATGAGGACAGTTTGTGCTGGTGAGCTGATGGATGCTCACATGTCTGCACGGAACCCAAGTGTGTCCCTCTTACCTCTTATCTCTATTGCCTGCCATTAAAAAGCAATGGCTTCGATTAAAAGAAGATGACTCTTTTTTTGGGTCCAAAGAGCAGTGTGGGGACATTTTGTAAGCATAATCATCTGCTCTGATGGTCATCTCATATCCTGCAGATGAAGAGGTCTTAATGTGAGCAGATGTGGTGGAGGAGTCACAGAAATGCCTTTTCCTGATGGTGTCATATCTAATGACATTTCTGACCTGAAGATAATTTTCCACTAAGGCTTCCAAAACCTCAGCTATATGACCTCTTAGAAAACTATTTACTAGACCAGTGGTTAAAGAGACAGTGTATGATTAAAGCCTCACTTAAAAAAAAAAAAAATGTGAGTTGGTTCTACTCTATAAGAGTCACCCAAGTGATGGATTGCTTATCATTAGTCATGGTAGCTTTCAATAAACAGAAGCGCAATATTATGTAGGGGGGCATCCAAAATAATTAAGTGGCAGGAACCCTCGTCACAGTGAGGGTGAACGGTTCAAATATCAAGGCTAGCTGTGAAAACGTGGGCAGAGGGAAAAAAATGAATAATGTTCTCTCTTCCCTCAAACACTCATCTCCCATCTGCTGTGGTGGAGCTGCTCAGTGGCAAACAGCAAAGGACTGTTTGTCATTTGCAGCCTCCAGGTTCTGAGCTGTGTTTGGGAGGTGTGCACACTTGCTCTGTGATACTGCACCTGAATGGTACAACAAATCATTTGAAAAAACATGATGCATTCTCCTCCCCTATGTGCTACATATTTTTTGCTGAATGCTCCGGTGGCATGCTGAGAGGGGGAGCAGGAGACTGGGGAGTGATCTCAGTCTTAGGAGGTTTAGAAAAAAAGAAAAAAGACAGAAAGAAAGAAAAGAAATAATGACATTTGTATGAGCTGTTCTTGCTGGCAAGAGCAGAATAGTGCTTTTCTTTTTTATTGTGCACCTTCTCAGCGTTGCAGTAAAATCGTGTTGCTGTTTAATATCAGGGAAAATTGCTAAAAGTTGACATGAGGCTGCTACTGTTGATGGATATCATTTTCAGCAGAAAAAATAATTATCCATTTTCCAAACCTGGTTTTTCACTTCCTCTCTGTTATTTCCTCCAAGTGTTCTAAGCAGCTGCGATTTCTGCCTCTCAGTTGTATCATTCTTCTCCAATCCTTCATGGGAGTTTGTGAACTTTTGTGTGTGCATTTGTGGGTGTGTATGTGTGTGTGTGTGTGTGTGTGTGTGTGTGTGTGTGTGTAATTTCAATTAGAGCAAAGTATTTCATTTGAACCATTACACTCATTGAGTAATGTGGTGGGGAAATACTTAGAAATAAAGTAAGCAATTAAAATCTGAGTGGGCATTTAATATGTCAACTTTTTTTTTTTTTTGCCATTTGGAGAAAGGTGTATTTTTCCCAGCGGTTCAAGAAAACATTTAGTCAAAGGACTCATAATTCAGTGTGCCAGTTTTAATCGATATCAAAGGAGTCTGTCAGGCTAATTAACCTCGTTTTTCATAGTTTAAATTAACACTTTGTTCTGAAATAAAACGATCACTTTACTGGTTATAGAGAATTTGGAAAGGTTCATTTGTGAAGTGCAGCGAGTTAGAGTTTAACGCAAGACACCTCAGTGACCAAAATTAAAAGTGATAATATATGTATGGTGCTGCACAGTGTTGGTATAGTGGTTAGCGCTGTTGCCTCACAGTGCATGCCTTGGTTCTCTCTGGGTACTCCGGCTTCCTCCCACATGACATGCTTGTCAGGTTAATTTGTGACTCTTAATTGTCCGTAGGTGTGAATATGGGTGTGTCTGGTTGTCTGTCTCTGTGTGTCAGCCTTGTGATTGACTGGAAAACACTCCAGGGTTTACCTCGCCTCTCACCCATATATACGTCTATATATATTCTCTAACTCATACATACTCTGCAGATATTTTGTTCTTGTTCAGGTTCCTTTATTACTACTGAGGTAAATTGCTTTTGCATTCAGTGAGGTGATGCCATCCATTATAACACACAGTTACACAAATTATGTAACATGAAACAACATATTCAAGAGAAATGGAAATATTTAAAATATCCTCAAACGAGAAAAAATCCTGAAACGATGAATAAAATGTGCAGAAGAACACTTGAGAAGTAAAGCATAAAAATGTCTGAGTATAACCTAATGTACATTTGCAAGTCAAAGCTTGCTCTATTGATTGTCAGTATATGAATGATGTATTTATAAACACATTTGTCCTATTTGGTAAATGTATCACCATCCCCAGGGGGCTTCATTCCTCCACCTCCCCTATAACTGACCCAATCAAGGCTTCCCCTGCAGGTTTTTGAGGATCACTTTCATGTCAGTCTTGAGGTTGAAGGTATAATTTCCAGTAATTTTGAGTTAAACGACCATGAAATGGGTCTTAATGTTTCCATTTCCTTCTGTATATTGACCCAATGAGAGAAGTGAAATAAACAATTTAGATTTATAATAAAGGGAAAACAACATCAAGGTCATAATTATATAATATAACATAACATAACTAATACAAATAGTTCCAAGATGGCATGTCTTAATTGCATTCCTGACTCAAAGCCCAGGTTCTTTGGTTTCCTCTTGTTTGATTTCCAAAACCATATCCACTAAGAAACATACATTTTCTGAAGGTTCTTAATGCATTGTAAACGTTCATACATGCTTTTACAGCTCTGTTACGGCTTTAGAGACTTCAGTGAGAACACAGTGAGGGTTAAGGGCTAAAGGTGATTTAGGTTTTAAAGGCACCACATCAAGTTTTTATTCAAGTCATAATCCATTTGGTTCAGCTGCTTTTAATTAGTGGATAATTATGAAGGCTATATGTGTCTCTGACAGGTCAACAGATTAGGTTAAAGTGTTTCTTGGCAGTGGCAGGCTAGCTTTGTACGCTTTGTTTGCTGAGCAGGCTAAGAGCTTTTGTGTGTAGTTAAAATCAATCTGACAGTAATAAAAGTCAAACTGAGAGAAGAAGTATACCCTCAATATGACAAGAACATGATGTTTAACAAGCAGCCCAAACCAAAAAATAAATGCATGCAAATATGAGATCTTATTTCAAGTGGCTGGCAATGAGATACAGAAAGAGAACGCTTATGTTCTACGGTCTCTGGTAATGTTTGTTAACACTTTAATAAGGAGGATAAGCGATACATTCACTAGTGTGTGCCTTACTTTTCCCACTTTCGCCTCCTGGTGTCAGAAATCACCTGTTCTATCTGAAACACACCTAAAACACCCTTTGTCTTAATTTGGTACATTTACTGTACGCCTCTCCCCAGAAGGGTTAACAAGTATTCCTCACATAGCTTCCAGGCAGTGATATGAAAATGTATCAAATTGTAATATGGCATGGTGTTGAATTGAATGCAGCAGCCTGCTAACCCCCTTCCTAAGATTAATGACTTCAGACAGGTCCAACGCGATGAGAGAAACAATCCTGATTGTGTCAGAAAGGATATTGCATTGACATATCCCGCGACTGACAGCTAATGCGTTCTGCTTTTGGAAGTGACTCACGCTCAACTTTGAATTTCATCATAAGGTTTCTTCAAGTAGACAGCAGATGGACTTTACAGAAACATGTATGCATTTCACAATATCTTTAACCCCCCCCCCCCATACATCACTGTACTGCACTTTCTCACTGTAACGCCATGTCTTTTCAGGATTATAGAAACATTCTTGCTATACTATCAGATCCATTACAACATCTTGTATCCAGCTCAGTGCTCTAGTTCCAAGATCCAACACAAGTCAGAAACCCAGTTCCAGTCCCAGTACTGGCTTAAGAAACAGCTATGGTCAGAGGTCGTTCTTTCATACATAAATACTTAAATCTGGAATGAGGTTATATCAGAAAAAACAATCTCATTAGACATTTCAAGCATGCATATGAACACTACCTGATTAATGAATTACTGGTATAATGTTAATTTTTAGTTTTTTTCCCAAACCTCTGATTGTCTGTGTTGCTGATAAGTCTGATTTTGGTTGGTGTCTTTTGGCTGACGTGATCTTGGTTTTTTACAGCATGTTCTGCAGAATGGGAACTGCTTTAAACCAGTTTTAACTGAGGCAGGCCTGTGTAACTTGTATTAATGTTACTTTCAATGTTTTCCTGTAATAATAAAATAAAAACCAATGCTATTCATGTAAAAATGTTGATCTCATACCACAATTTCTGAGGTTATATTGTGACCAGAAGACATGCCCACTTGCAGTACTTAATCTTCAAAGTTGCAAAGATGTAAAAATATGTCTTTTGAAATGTCTATTCAAACTTTTTTAATAGCATCTTAATGATATCATTTAGAATACAGCGTGCTTAAGCGAGAAGGGGGCAAAAAGATTACCGTTTTTATTAAAAAGAAAATCTTTGCATTAAGCGAGAGAAGTGATGAGATAATTGCCGGTGGTTTGAGCTGCAGTTTGACTCACCTAAGGATTAATGGGAAGTGATTACAGCCGTGGAAATGTGCTTCTCCATTTTGTTGAGCTTGGTGAGAACATTTTAATATACAGTGATGCACGTGGTGAAGCTTCAGACAAGAACTATTGCCTTATCTTTGATACCTTTGGTTCATATTTAACCCTATTGTGTAAAACTGAAGAGCCAGTATAGCATAGCATTAAGCACTAAACGGTTGTATTGTTTAGTTCTTACATTCATATTTCCTGTTTCTATATGGGGTGCTTTAAGAATTCTAATAAAGGAGATACCCATGAAGCATTGTGTGCAATTGTTAGGCTAATCTAAAGTTAGCAGTGCAGTAAAGCGAGTCCACAGTGAGCTCCCTCTGGTCAACACTGTAGCTCTGTTTCTATATTAAGCACATGTTTGATGTACTTCACTATAACAGGATCTCATTTTCTTCCAAAGCACAAAGCAGCAGTGAGCCTCTTTTAAAGCCATGGCAGGGAAATGCATCTTGACTTTTGTGGTTGACCACACTGTGCCCCGTTGCCCACGCAATTTGTTCTAGTCAGTGACTTTGTTTCGCCCCGCACTGGTTAACATACACTCCCAGAGCCCTCCCCCGAGTGTTTTGGGGAGGGCGAGAGATAGTGAGCGCTACCAACCGATTCCAGATGGCTTCCACAATGTAGGGCTCAGAGGATGAGCGCTGAAAAGAAGATTGATTTCCTTTGTGGAGTATGACAAGCCATGCACTAGAGCGCAGCTCTCCAGACACACAAAAGAGGCTCAAAAAACATATTTCTACTTTTTTTTTTTCTCATATCAATCAGCTTTGGCAGTAAAACTACAGGGTAGAGTTTTCTCATGGTTTGCTTTGGTCCCTCGAGGGAAATGATGTGTGTATTCATGCTCTTTTTTCAATCTTACACCTTCTTTATCAAAGCTTCTCTGGTAAATGTTTGCTCCAACATTTATTTATTTTTTCTCTTTGTACATCGTTTTAAACAGTTTTACGTCCCACCTTGAATGTCAGCTATTGAAGATACAATCCAAAGTGTATTTGATTCAAAAACTTTTTTGGTGCACATAGTTTGGAGTTTTTCCATTCTAAATCAAAATAAATTGACATTTTGCTTATTGATCATGAAAATCGACATCCAAGGTTGCAGCTAAAACATCTTTTTTTTTTAGACCCTCCCACCATACCTCGTATAGATAAAGACGCCTGAACATTTGATCGACACAGCTACCTGCACTTCTACTTTTCAACTTTGCTAAACTTTGCCTCACTTCTTGCAGACCTTGCTGCGGGATGGCAGGAGAGAGAGCACCGTGAGCACCCTCTACCTCTCACCTTCCAACATCGAGACAGGTCAGCAGATCATCTGCAAGGCGTCCAACAAGGCGGTCCCCAACGGCAAGGAGGCCAGTGTCACCATCGACATCCAGCGTAAGCTTTTATCCATGACTCTCTCGTTTCATCTGTTCAGTATCTCTCCCTTTCCTCTCACTGTCTCCCAGTTTTACATCAAAGTTCTGAAAGTCCCTACGTATGACATGCATTACTCAGATGCTCAAGGTATTTCTCACATGTAGAGGCGTGAAACTGCCAAACTGTCAGACGTACGTGACTAACACTCTGTAAACATCAAGAATTCATTTTAGGCTCTGATAGATATTTATAATTGCTTTCCATTTTTGCTTTTCAAGCCATGTAGGTAGGTGGGTGGATGGATTGATGATGCATCACATTTTTTTTTTCTTTGTTCACTATGATGAAATATCAAAGGAGCTGTCCGTCTACAAAGAATGGGATTGTCTGTTTTGGTCCGAATACCTGCCTGCTATCATGGAACTATGCACACTGATTCCACCTCTTTTTTTTCTTGCACATACCATCAATCTTTTTGATAAGAGCATGCACAATTCCCCCTCTTAAATAGGCAAAGTAAGCCCAGCGTGTAAAACACATTTCACCTCAATTGTCAGAGTCTTTTTTTTTTGAATTTTTTCGATCAAGATGTGTTCACAGTAAGAGAAGGGCTTTGAACAAAGGGATTTTTGCATCACTCACAGCCCCTTCAACACCATTAAGTATGACTAATAAAGCAGAAAATGCTATTTAGAGAGCTGATATGACTGACGGCTCCATTCTTTTCATTATGTACACCACAAGAGGCAGGCATGGCGAGAGAGCGGGCAACGCACGATCAGGCCAACTCAGGCGCGGGAGTTAAAAATGATTAACAGTTGTTAGTGTTTGCACCCGTTGCAGTTTGTCCTCGTCATTTATTTTTTGTCACGCAGTCAGAAAGGGGAAGTCTGCCCACACGTTAACTGATTTGTCAGCAAGTATAATGATGTGTCTGTGATAAATGCTCGCCATCATAGCATCATCCTCGCTCCTGAATGTATGATTTAACCCTGAAGAATGAGACCAGCAGCTTTCTAATTAGCATTCCAAAATGTGCTCTTTACACAATTACAGCTCCTGACAACATTTTTCACAGTGTGAGATCAAACCGAGCGACAGCAGAGACTAATTGTCAAGATTCAAATTGTCTCCCATAAGGCTTAGCCTCTAGTCTCCCCCCACCCCCCATCCCCCATCACTCCCGAAACTTGACAGGTAAAGTGTTCAGCACAGTTCAGCAAAGCCTCAGGAATTTGTGCAAAAAAAAAAAACCTTTCTCCAAATTAAGCTGCCTTTGAAATGAAACATTTTGTAATTGAACTGTGATTCATCCGTGTTGGGTATCAATTTGTTTAATTTCAATGCTGCCTAATTCGATTACAAGGTTCTTGGCACAAAAACAGCATGTGTTTCTTGCAGGAAAATATCAAAACTTTGAGCTATTTTTCACAGACACATGACATCTTTAAGAAAACGCTCAACTGTAAAAATGTTTTGCAGACACATTCAGACAAAGTGAATATGCTGCTGCTGTAGAGACGTGCAGATTTCAGCAGCACTTCAATAGGTGTATATTTAAACAAAAGTCTTTCAGGCTATAGCAATACATTTTTACTTACTACAATAAATATTGTGAGAATGAAGAACTGTGGGGTTGGAAATCAGGAAAGCTTAATATGAATGCACAATTCAAAGACATTGTTCAAAGACAAGCACCTAGTCTTATTGTTGCAAATAAAAAAACAGGAGGCGGGTGCATAAATAACAGGAAATTGGCTCGGGGAATAGAAGCATATGAAAGTTGACCTCAATCTATTTAAGGACTAGACCTTGCGTCGGTGGTCTCTTTGATTGCTCCTCCACTGAAGACCGGCTGTTAGGACAACTGAGCGGGAAATGGGAATCCTGCAAAGAAATCAGCGCCCTGCATAAATCTAAAGACTATGACGCTATGCATTTTCCAAATCTATCCTTTACCAAATAGCTGTGCCCTGTTGACATCTCAGGCGGCTGTGACTCACTCGGTAGAGTCGGTTTGTCTCTCAACCGGGAAGTTCTGGGTTCGATTCCCTTCTCCTGCAGCAACATATTCGATGTGTCCTTGGTCATGACACTTAACACAGTATTTGTCACCCTGCTTCGTCTGCGGCGTATGAGTATGTGCCATCAGTGTGTGAATGTGTAGGTGTGACATGCGGTGTAAAAGCGCTTTGAGTAGTTAGTAGCCACGTCCTCCCTGTGTGTGTTTCCCTCCCTTTTTGATTGCCTTCATCAGTTTCACCTGTGTCTTGTCTGTCACACCTGTATCTGATTGCCCCCTGTATTGAGTCTTTGGGTTTCTTCCCTTCTCTGTCAGTTCATTGACAGACATTACCCTATGTTGTGAGCTTATTTGCCTCTCAGTGCTTGGTTTGAAATTGAAAGTGTAAGCCTTTGTGTTTGACTTTTGCCGTTTGTTAAAATACATCTTTAGTTTGAATCTGCACTTGGGTCTACCTTTTTCTTTCTGACTTTTTTGACAGAGTATGTTTAGAGAAAAGTAAAAGCCATCTCCATACCAACCAAAGCCTACCTTCCTTCAAGCATTTCAGGAGTCTTGTGAAATAAACGTTACCTGACCGTCTCTTCTTACCTCCCCTCAACTCAATCATGAGTCAGAATGAATTATTTAGTTTTGGTTTAAACACATGGAGAATATACTTTTTTTCCATAAGTTGGATAGCATCAATCACTTACAATTTCCCCATTGCCTTCTACCACACAGAAGCCTTCTTCTTCTGAATGTCAAAGTTTTCCACCATTTATGCATACATATGCGTCACTCGGGCTCGTTCTAATCAATGGCTTTAAGAAACGGCACTTTGTCAAAGCAAGTTGAATAGTTTTGATTCATTGAAAACACTTTCTTGTGTGCAAATGTTCAAGGTTGCACACAAAGTGTATTGTATGCACACAATGCCTGTCTGCCATCCTTTATACATCTACACTCTGTACACAATATAAGCATGAACAATACATGATGAAAAATAAAAATTGTCGGGACTGAAGTTATCAGCAGAAAAGTAAAAGAAAACTAGCCTAAGTAATTTGAAAAAAAAAAAAAAAAGCCATATATATATATATATATATATATATATATATGTATGCTTGTATATTTCCTATTGCATGATTCACTGTGCGTGAGACCCATTTATGAGAATTAAAGGTCTCACCAGCAATATCTATATGGTTGGTGCTGCCGGCCATATTTGTGTGGTGCTACAATTTGCTTCAGTCCTGAACAAAGACCGAAGGATAAATGGCAGTCTCCTGTGAATAGTTGCTTGTAGTCGTAGTGGCACCCTGGTGAGTTCCGGATACAGCATGTCACAGAGGCTAAAAATGCACACTCTTAACCACTTATGTCCCTTCAAGATGTGATGGAATGACAATATAATTCGCTGGCCTTGAGCTCGCTTTTGAACTTTGGTAGTACTTTTTGTTCAGGAGTCTGCGTTCAAAGATGGAAGTTAAACAAGTCCAACCTGCCTTTGCAACGAAATACATGCAGTCTTTACCGGATTAGAATAGGAAATTTGTATTTGACTGCTATTGAATGCAGAGCTAATGCCTTTGCATACAATTCCCTGACACACTCAGTGGTAGCTCTGTATTGGACACAGAGTAATTGAATTGATATTGATACTCTCACCTAACCCTCAATAAAACAGCAAACAAGCATTTTTTTCAAAATGATTGTGTTCACTAAAAGTGGGGATTATGTCCACTGAGCATCCACACTCTGAGTTCTGAATATATGCTGGTATAGTTCCTACTGCATGGTTCACTGTGTGTGAGTCCCATTCATGAGAATTCAAAGTCTCATTTATTTCCCTGCCCAGACCTTTCTAATTGGCAGCATTAGAGAGATAATATTAGTAGCTAACAAAAGTAATTAAAATGGTCTCAGTCCTTCTGCCCTTCTCAACATTTGGTATTCCGCTCACCTCTAAGCTGAGACGCCCTTTCTCTCCGCTCCACACTTATAGCAATCCAAATGAGTGTAATCTAAACACAGCCCAGCACATTGCTCTACAGCTTAAACCGGCCTAAAATCCAATGCATTTCACAACGGTGTTTTATTTTATCATCACTTTTAATGCTTATGATTTACATCCTACCTCAGTGATTTCATTCCCCACAGAAGTTCACACAGAGTTATCTGACCTGAGGTTAGACAAATTAGCATCTAAATACAGTATGTAGTGGTGATGTTGCCAAAATGAGAGGGATTTAGAGCCAGCAGAGGTGATTCAAAACCCTGGATAGACTGCTGACTTCAGTTGTCCATACCAGTCCATTAGCAGGCTGTAATTATTTGATAGCAGTGGGGCGGCTACCCCCTGATGCTGTTTTCTCCAGCAGCATGACTTAACTTGCATTATGCCCTTTGGACTAATAAGTAACTCTCTAACTACACAGCATAAATCCACCGCAGTGAATATGGTTCTGATACCACAGTTTCATGTCCAACTTAATCCCACTCATCACACAACTGGAATTATGCTTCAGATATTGTTCTTTGTCCAGCTGCATATCTGCAGAGCGTTGGCCCACATAGGAACGCACATTCAAACGAGTAGTCAGAAAATGAATGTGCCAGGGACAGACAGGCAAAGCCAAGGTTCTGCATGTGTTTGCATTGCAAACAAGCTGAGCCATGTGGGAGGAAAATGAATGCCATTTGTTGAGACTAATTAATAAAGAACATGCAGATGTGCAATCGGGGAGGATTTGTTTTTTGGTAGCAGCAACATGCTCTCCCTGCCTAATCAAGCAGATAATGGCAAATTCATCAGAAGGCAGATAACAGATGAAAGAATGTGAAGGGAAGAAGGAAATAGTTTAGTCTTAAGGGGTGATAACATGCTCTGATTCTTCTGTACATTAGATTAAGCTCTATGCATGCTGCAGTCTTGAGTTATCTTGTGATCTTATTTAAGACTGCATGAAGGAATTTGGTTTCCAATGACCTAAAGATCAATTTAATGCTTTTTAGCTAAGCTTTGCTGTCTTTAGATTTGATTAGTAAAAAGAAAAGTCATTAACATGCACACATTTACATGCATACAGATGTGCTGTGCAGACTGCAGAGCTCCTGAGCTGCTGTTTGAGTAAAACATCTGTCAATTATATTCTCTGTTGTTGCACAAGAAAATCTCATAATCAATATGCTGGACCTCAGTTTCTTAGGCAGTCTGTTCTCCCCTCAAGTATTCCACTCAGCCAGCCATGTGACAGCATTCCCATATTGCTAAGGCTAGAAGCCAGGAGCGGATGGCCTACAAACAGCTTCCCCGCATCCTTCACAGAGAGCAGACATTGCTGGAGTTTGAGGCTGGTCCTACTGGAGAACAGCTGTCTAAAGTGACCTGGAGAGATAGGAAATTGAGCTTTAAGAAAGGGGGGAGGGGAAACAGTTTATGTTGGCAGTGTCTCTAGGAAATAGAGTGAAGTTGGAGGATTGTTCCAGAAAGCACCATCTGGTCTTTACTTTGAACTAACCGACCAAAAGCTGTCGGCCGACTTTAACCGTAACCTTCTTATTCATGCTGTTATTGTCACTGGAAATATTTTAAGTTCTACTATCCTACTTGAAGTCTACCCATCAGTCCCTTCCATCAAAATATAATATATTGATGTCCTAAGGTACTTCACATAATTTAGCTTAGCGTTTCATGCATGTGTTTACCAAAGTGACACATGGTCCTAAGGACGAGGAATCTGTCATATCTGCAGGGTTAAAGATGAGTTAAGTGACAGTCCCGCATGCACACCCAAAGGCTCGTTGACCGACTTATGACAGCTGCTGCTCCCATGGCTGTCTCTGCTAATGGATCTGCAGGGATCTACACAACAAAATTGCAAGTCTGACTTAGAAATGAATGTCAAGTTGTCATGCCCTTACTTCTGGCTGAGAGGGAGGGTCAGTTTCTTTCCACCTCAGTCATTGGAAAAAGGCCATTAATTAGCTGAGCAGTTGTGTCCTTAGAAAAAAAATGCATTGAAGGAATACCACTGGTGATCAAAAGCTTGTAAATTAGCGTCTACACATACACTGTATCTATTAGCACAGACACTTACTCCAGACCTCCCCTGTGCTTCTCTTATGTCCTCTCAGCTTCTTGCTGGATTGTATTACTGACTCCACTGCCACATCTGTCATTTTGCCCCTAAGGTTCCCTCTCCCTATATTTATGTCCACACACTTAGCCACTCACAATGCAACAATCACCTTCTGGATAGATACCACTACATAGAGAGAGGTTTCCAGTTTTATTATGACTCTCACGCACATGGCTTTTCACATGCACACATATGCAAATACACAGACACACAGAGACTGTACTCAGTACCTGGAGAGACTTACTGGTTCACAGTGGCCTCCAGTCATTCATGATCCATAATATTGTTGTTTTCTCTACTGGCCTGGGGAGAACTGGCACAGGTGGAGCTCATGGATTTGAAGGTAGAGTGGTTGGTGGAGACGAGGGAGGGGGATGGGGGTGGGGGCAAACTGTCTAGGGAGGAGGTAAGTCTGCTGATGGGGAATATGGTGTGTGTGTGTGTGTGTGTGTGTGTGTGTGTGTGTGTGTGTGTGTGTGTGTGTGTGTGTGTGTGTGTGTGTGTGTGTGTGTGTGTGTGTGTGTGTGTGTGTGTGTGTGTGTGTGTGTGTGTGTGTGTGGAGGAATATGGCACCTGGACCACCCCCCCTCTCTGGGGCTTTGTGGCAGCTGAGCCAGCCCAGAGCATCTGCACAGCCACAGGGTAAAAAGCAGTTTCCCTACACTTCATGCCCACACATGCACACACACACACACAAATATGCACTCTTCATAACTTTACACAGTGCTGTTTGGCTTCATTACAGCAGTGTTTGTGTGCTTCATTAATGCTACATGCAACATCTCTAAAGCCCATCACTTCTCTTCATCTGTATCCAAAACACAATCCCTGGTTAGTACATTAGTTTTATTGAACACAGAGCAGATATACTTAGCACACCTCTTAAGCAGATGGCCGCAGCAGCATCAGACCCAGAACCAGCTTTTTCCCCTGAAAGTAATCGACTGTCTGTTACGCCTTACCACCAGTATGCCACTTCTTCTTCTTCTTCTTCTTCTAAAAATGACACATAGCTAAGGGGTTGCAGAAGTTGAGTCTCATTGGTATCTCCCTAAAAAAACCAACCTCAACTATTTACCCTGCAAGGCTTGGGGAATATTGCTGCCTTGGCAGGACAGGTGTGCTGTAAAGGGTTTTTTAGCCTTACAGTAAAACGTTTTTTTTTTTTGTTGCATTATATGAAAAAAGAAACTCCCTGTAACCAATTGTGAAAAGAAAAAAAACATATCAATAGAAATTAAGAGTAGAAAAAAGGCTCCCCGAGCACGAGTTGACAGCATAACTCATAAATAGAGCACATGCACTCAAACCTGATTCCTCACCATTAGAAAAAGCCAGGTATAAGTCATCTTAGTACTCTTCTCTTGCTATATTCAATGCTATACACAACATATACCCAGCCTCTTTGTTTTAGAAACCTTGACAAATACCTCCTCCTACTTGATATTCACTCTCTAAGTCTGAGGTAAATAGCTGCTAATTTCACATGGGACCTGGTAGAAATGGAAATGAACACGTATCTTCAAAGAGAATCCCACCTTTGTCAATTAGGACAAATTAAGTTGTTTATTAAATTTGCATAATCTGTACGCTTGTTATTCCGAGACCTGTTTACTGTATCACTGAGGTTGTTCATTGTTCTAATTGGGCCGTGGACTATCCTATGTTTTTTTTTTTTTTTTCAAATTGCCATTTACAGGAAGTAATTATCAAGTCAAGTTTGCCTTTAATTCCTTAAATGTGCTAATGGGTATGGAATGCTCTGGTTTAAAAATAGCATGTTCTCTTTTTACACCTGTGAAATAAACAACAGTGTTATCCAGCATCTTGGCCTATACAGACACTGGGTGGGTGGTTGGAAGATAACACATTATAGGGCATCAAAATATTCAGAAGTAATTGTTTATTATGTGGGTGAAAATCGTACCACAACCTGTGAGAAGTTGTCAAAACTGTGTTTTTTTTCCACTGTTTATTTTAAAGTAATCCTAATCAAAGAATTATACCTTGTGTTTGTCAGTGAAACATGTTTACCTGCAGCACTGTGTGGTACAGCAACATAACAGTGTATTCATTTTGCATGTTTGTTGTTTGTTTCTGTCCTTTTGAAGACATTTTAAATGGCTCTGCATTGTCCTATGTGTGATTTTTTCCCCCTATAGTTATTTTCTAACCTTTCTTTTTTTTTTTTAAAGCTCCCATATTCTTCTTTTTCTGGTTTTATATGCTATTTAGTGTGTTTTCCATGTCTCCTGTGCATGTTTAGGCACATCTATGTGCAAAAATTCAAAGTCTGCGGAAACGCGGCTTCTCCTACGTCCTCCTGTTAGCTGTAGCATTAGCTACATGTAACGCTCGGTTCTAGCCCCCCTCCATAAAAATGTGTCAGTGTGACGTCATTGTCAGTGTGAGATCACTGATCTAAGTCCATTGGCTCGTTGTGTCAAGCCCAGCAACTCATGTTGAAATTTCCGAGAAGTGTGCTGAGCAACTGACCAATAACAACAGAGTGGATCGGCAGACCAATCAGAGCAGACTTGGCCCACGTGGGGTCTAACAGTGTGGGCTCAACAGAGTGTAGCTGACGGACTCAGAGCGTAGAGGGAGCAAGGAGGAGCAGTACATGAAAACAGACACTTTTTTAGAACTTTAGCTATTGTGAACATACAAAAGTAGGTACATAGATTAAATATATGAACCCCAAAAAGGGCAGAATATGGGCTCTTTAAGTGACAGAACTTGTCAAGAACACAGTGTTTGTCTAAGGCTTAAAGTTTGTTGCATAATGTTTTTAAAAGAGTGCCAGTTTTTGAATTGGTTGCCTTTGTGTCCCTGTTTTATTCATTAATTAATCTATTATTTATTTATTTTCAGATCTTCCACTTGTCAATCTCTCCGTGGAGCCTCAGCCCGTTCTGGAGGGGAATCTTGTGAAATTCCACTGCTCTGCAAAGGCCAACCCCCCTGTTACACTCTACAGGTGAGATAAAGTCATGAATGTCCAAAACATGTGTCTTCCTGTCATTCAAAATGCAAATAAGCAGTGTTACAACGACCTACCTAATGGATATTTACAGTGGATAATATGTTTTTTCATATTAAGGTAATTTAACACTTCATTACTGATAGCATTAATCATTGCCAGACACCAGACACACATCATCTGATGCCCATGGCAGCTTCAGAGCTGCCCACATTCTGAAATGAAGACAAGAAAAACAATGGAACACTGTCATGCTGAAAAATTTAATGAAAATACATCTCAAAAAATCATTTGGGAAACCTTGTCATGTGCCACTGGGTTGCAGCAAGGCAAAGCAGTGTTTTGTTGCAAAGCTCCTATTTTTTCTCCCCTTCCTTTGTGCTCCTATCAACTCCCTTGAACATTAAATGTCCATCAGCGTTCTGAAGGAAAGCTGAAACATAATGTGCATGACATCTGATGAAGCTGTCAAGATTTCAGCTTTTCTGAGATTAGGTTTTGCTCCCAAGTATACAGTAGATAGGCAGGTTTTTTTTTTTTTCCCCCTAAGGGATGTGAGAGTGTTTTAATACGTGTGTGTGTTGTGCAGTCGTTTTGTAACATGGCATGCAGTGCTACCGAAACTTAAAATTTGAGCTCCTGCATTATGCTTGTGTTTGTTTTGGTTTATTTTGAACTGATTAAAATGTTGTTGTTTTTTTTCGTAATGGATTTTACAAGAGCAGATGAGCTCCATTGTCAGGAGAAATACAAAAAAAAATATTGCATGCAACTAATCTTAGCAAACAGGCAAAAAATAGCACATGACCAAGATGCCAAGACTCTTATCTCAGCAAGGTTAAAAATGCTTCTAGTATGACATTTTATACCGAGGTAAAAATGAATTAACCAGAAGGGCAACAGAATTACACCTCACTCCAAAAACATTCACCTCTTAAAAACACATATATAAATATGTTTATAACATGGACTAAGCTCATCATGCATCATTCCCTCTGTTATGTTTTGTGAGAGATGTTTCTGAGTGGAGGGGAACAAAGAAATAAAATGTTGATTTTTATGTTTCAAAAGTACTTGCATGAAGTTGCAATTTAAATATACTAGTTTCAGAGCTAGGCTAAAGGTTTGTAAGGGAAAGACTAAAAGATGAATCTTCAAAACGTACGTATAAAGCTTAAAAGCACTAGTCAGAGAATCGACATGATATTTTAAGTACAGTACAAGGAAAAGTGCTACGACACATGTTCAGCTGACGAAAACTTTGATTTTTGCACTGTACCTACAGTATAAACTTCCACAACGTCTACACAACAGGATGTGAGGTTAGGCCGGTAACTTGAGCATTAACCTTTGTTTTACAGGACTATAAAGGTGGTTCACTTCTTAACAGGTAACATGGCCAGGGTAAAATGGTCACTGGAGCAGGTTAATTTCAAGATAATACATGGATGTGAGGTTCTAATAGGGGAGGGGCGCAAGGATCAGTGTCAATTAGCTTTACCAGAAGAATTTCCATACAAGAAATTGTCTTTGTGCTTTTTTACTGATATCATCCTGCAACATGCTTGTTGAAGTTTCAAGATATGCAGAAGTTATCCTACTTAAAGCCTTGTCTTGTATTCTTTTTTTTTTTCCTCACTAAACTTAAGATATACATAACTTCAATGGATTCTACGGCTTTCTATCGTTACATGCAGCCGGCTTTGTTTTTCTCCAGCTGTTTTTCTTTCAATTGTCAGAGACAGCTGTGTTGCTTTTGGCCCTAATCATGTGTTTCTCCAACTTTATTGTTTGCTTTAAGTTAGTCAAAATATGTTTCTCTGCAGACGTCTTTTTGAACATAAGGTACAATTGACTGTGGGGTTGCTTAGTGGGAATCCAGGGCACGTTGAAAACAAAGGTAAAGTCCATTTTTCACTGTGAACCAAACCAATAATTAGATGCCAAACAATAACTAAAAAAAACCCTGACAAGACAAATGATGTAAAAAACCTGCCACATCTCAACAAAAGTTAGACCAAATACAGAAAAAATACAAAGTATATACAGTACATCTTCCTGTACTGCAGTTTTGATAACTTGTTTACACCTGAACAACCAGTTGAGTCCCAGTCTTCCCAGTCATTTCTGTTATTGATAGGAGAATTCTCACTTGCACTGGTTCCAATAAATTCTCGTTGTTTGATTACCAGATCTGTGATTGTGATGAAACAACAAAGTGTAGAGTCATTATTTCCATAAAAATCCTTGATAGTCCCTTTACCAGTGTATTACTGAAGTGATTTGTCAAGAGATGGTTTTCTGTGTGGGAGGCTGGAAAAACCCAGTGTAAAATAAACGGGAGGAAATCGATAGCAAAGAGGATTGTTCGGCTCTGAATCTTGTAATGGTACTGGGAAATGAAATGGATGTACAACACACTCACAGGTGGCGAAACAGAGATGTTGCCTCTCTTTTTTTTGTTGATGGATTCTGCCCTTTTGAAAAAGAAAAAAAGGAGGGAGGGCAGTGATATTGTGGAAAACAAGGTTTGTATTTGATTGTATAGGTGCACAGCATAGACAGGACCTGCAAAGGGATTTCACCTCTATTGTTATGGGACTGGATCAATGTTAGAATCAGACTTCTCCTCCCCCGGGGGATTGAGAGCTAAGATGCAATGGCGGTTGAGATGACTTTTTCTTTTTAGTTTGACAAACTGCAGAATGAAAAAAAGGTTGGAGGTTGAATGTTCCCTCTGTGTAATTTATTTCTCCTTTCTCTCTTTCCTTCTGCCGCCCGGCCCTCTGTCATTGACACAATCCACTGTAGAACGAGATAATATCCGTACCGAATAACTTCAGATACTTCAAGGTTATAGTCTCCACCAGTTCACCTGGTTTCATAGCCCCCCATTTAGATTTATCTGCAATTTATACGAGCGCTTCAGGACTCCTGTGCACCATTGGAGTTCATGGCATGGAAGAGTGGGGACTTTTGGGCTTCATAATGCCTTGCCTGAGAGGTTTCAACCAAGGGAGAGCCCCCCCACAAATTCCCCGAGAGAGAGAGAGAGAGAGAGAGAGAGAGAGAGAGAGTGAGTGTAATATCACAGAAGAGAGCAGGAAGCTGGTCAAGCAGTGTGGGGGCCATTTTTCAGTGCTAATACATTCTGTCTACCCCAGATCAGATACAGCACAAGGACAGAGTAGTTCTCAGACAGATAGCCTCTTCTCAATCCTCAAGAGAGCCATCCATTCCCAATGTGCAGTGCAGCGCCACTTTGCCATCGAATTCAGTGGACGCTTGAGACACAGACCCGAGATAGTGGGGGCACTAGTCGGAGGGCATGGTTCTCTCGCTTGCCTGCAACCCCCTCTTGCTTGCAACATCGGTTCCATAAAATCTAACTTTAAAGATGAAAATGGAAATAAGATGCATTTTTACCGATGCCTGAACCTCACTTTAAAGGAATACTTCACCTGTTGAAACATGAATCTGTATTGACATTGGGTCGTATATGTAGTAGAAATGTGAAATACATTTAGAAGTTGGTGCCTTCTTGGCCGAGAAAAGACAGAAAGTGTCTTTTTGGCTCATGTGGATGAAAGACACCAAATCCCAGAATGCACAGCACTGCAGGCTCCTCCCACTAAGGTCCTCTATTTCAAAATTAGAATCAGGAAAATGAGGGCGGGATGCACGACCATTCAAAAATACTACCAGGTTTCTACCAGATACAAAGCTTAATGCAAATGGGTGAAGTATCCCTTTAAGGAAAGAGGAAGGAGGTGAGGAGACTGGAGAGAAGGTGTGGAGGCAAAGGGGTTTGGAAGAGAAGATGACAAGGGGTGATGAAAGTGTGAATGAAGTAAGAGTTAGTGGGTGTGTGTGTGTGTGACAGTATAGGCACTGCAGGGATTCAACACTCTGAGGGGGACGGACGAGTGGGTCGGAACATCTTCATTACCGTTTGTAATGGTAGGAGGGCTAACTGGCATACATCACAGTCACTCAGCCCCCCACCCCCCACCCCACCCCCCTCTGATGAAGACACAGAGGCTTTCCTCAGATCTAAACAAGAGACCCACCAGAGACATGACAAACAATAACAAACAAAACAAATCAGGCCCCTTGTCAGCACATACAAACCATGGGTAGAACGACAACACCCCCCCCCTTTCCTTCACATGATGCTGCTGGAAATAACACCCTGATCTTCCCCACACTAATATCTGCGGTGCTGCTCTTTAATGTGTATTGTTTGTTTGCTTTTGACTGACACCACAATCAACATACTTTCCCATGTTTGCAGACCTTGGAGGTAAAGCTAATTGAAACATGCTGCAGTCTGTTGTTTTGGATGAGACATGCTATTCCCCAGCCGCATGCAGCTGCAGACATACAGCGCTTTAAATCATGTGAGAGAAGAAAAGTAGGGCCACTTCATTTAAAAAACGAATTTAAGGGCGTATAAATAAACCGTGAAAAAAACAAAGCTTCATCTAAGACAATTAGGGCCAATCCCAAATCAAAATCGAAATGTAATTAGTTCAGTGATTCCCATCAAAATTGCTGAATTATAGCCCTAATGTGCACCATTACAGCAAACATACAAATCAATATGACCTTGACAAGTGGGGAATTACAACGGAAAGTTAGCACAACACATAAAAAGTACTTAACTCCATGAGTTTGGAATAATTCTCCCCTTCCCGAAAACCCCAAATAGCTGTTTATAGTTTTCTGAATAGATAATTGACATGACTCTTGTCTTTGTTTTCAAAATGATATCAGTACCAATCTGTAAGTCTTACTGTAGAATATAAAACCTTTGATTTATGGTCCCTGTCAAAGTGACAGCATGCTATTACTTAACAAGCACATTTATTTTATATTCCACCGAGAATTCAGCAGTCATCACTTTCAATGTGCAGGTGAGGGAGGGAAAGAAACTGCACCGCGCTGCGCCTAACCATGCTGATAATAACTGTGGGCTCTGATTTACTGCGGGCCTTGATGCTGATGGCACAGATACCTGCCTAATTTAATTGTTACTGTTTTATGGCCTTAATCACATTCAGCAAATACAAAACTCCCCACCGCCCCCGCGTCTCCTTCATCCTCTGCCTCCATTAACGGCAGACCTGTTTATCTATTACAGTGTTAGCTTACAGATCCATGCACACCCAATAACACACACACAAAAAAACAATAACACGGCAACCCACTTACAGTGTAGCGTGCAATGTTTTCACCCTCCGTCTGAATCAAATCCCTCAGTAGGATACAGCAGTGCAAAGTGAGTTAGCTATTGAGTAAGCTCACACTGGCCCTTCTAACCTCCCAGAGGGAATGCAGGTGTTTGTGTTACCCTGGGCCAGCTATGTTTAGACATGAGTCTTGGACAGGACCCAGCACATCAACAGAGCTTCCTTTGCTCCCAGTGGACGACGGCGTTCTGTCTCGGTTTCCTCTAACACTGTCAAGGGCTCCAAACCTGGCAGCGGCAACATCCACTCAGGAGCAGCCGGCTGTCCTAAACATCTGTGCTTACGCCTACAGTATCAGCTGATAATGTGGAGGCGGAGACAGTGGCACTCTGAAATATATATATATATATATATATATATATATATATATATGTCATGAATCATTACGGTCATCATACTAATAGCCATGATTTTCACAGCCACCGTCAGGAAGATAAAGCTCCCATCCCAAGGGACGTTCATCATCATTTTTGGTCAGTTTATGAAAACGTGCAGAGGTTACAGGTGTTGATTCTGGTCATATCTAAGAATGTGTGGAGATAAAAAAAAAAAAAAAAAAAAAAAAAAAAAAAGCTTCACAACTGGGATACATCTGTAGCTGTATTCTACAATGCAAAAACAAAAAAGTCATAAAATTCTTCATATTGTACGTTGAAGAGACACTGGTATATCGCACCTTTAATGTTTGCACTGACTGTTATTTAATGTCTGTTTTTTAATAATTTTCTTATTTTTAAACATTGCTAAAAACAATTTGATTCATCTAGGGGTATTCTTTAAATCTTTTTTCAGGTTACTATGTATGGGAGGGGGACGTCGCTGTTGTGGTTTAATTTGTAACAAATGTTTCATGTCATGTACGTCTTTGTAACCTGATACTGGATGCTTTGAATTTCCCTCGGGATCAATAAAGTATCTATCTATCTATCTATCTATCTATCTATCTAACTTAACTTTAATAAGTCTAGTTCCATACAATTAGCATACGATTGATTTTCTGTACTAACATGTTTGAGATATGCTAATCTGCATAAATGCTATTTGCAGCTATATATAGTGTGGCTATGGGGTGTTCATCTGTTTATACTATCTGACGCACACAGACACTTTTACAAGGGGGTACTTCTTCTAGATCAGACAGACCAAAACTCCAGTCTGCCCTATTTTCAACATTTTTGGAAACACAGGTGTTGCAAAGCCCTCAGCAATCTCCTTGTAATACAAGACGAGAAAAACTCAGAGAGAGAAAAAACTCTCGCTGCTGAATAAAAGTGCAGAAAAAAATCCCATGAAGCCCAATTAGAATTCTGCTTCACTTCACTTACTGATTGAATGAGGTAATCTGTTCTCGTTTAAATGATAGCATTTCAGTCAAGCAAGGGACCAGCTTAGTCATGGAAAACAAATGAGTTCCCCTATCCCGTGAAAACTGCTCTCGGCGCTGCTAGGAATGTAAAAACGAAGACAGGCAGCGGGGTCTGTTGTCATTGTTTTCATTTGCAAAAAATCAGCATGCAGCCACGTCTCTGTTGTGCAGGATGGCAGTGTTAAGACGGGTGATGCATTGTATGTCCCAGAGCACTGTCTAAAAATCTTCCAAAGAGACCCAAGACATCCATAGACGCCGTTGCTTCACTTTTATAAATGGGCCTTGTCTGCTGTCGCGGCAGAGAGCCATCCACATCAGGCAGAGCGAGACATAACTGCCTGTGACATCACAAAAATCCTCACCTAAACGTGCAGAGAGTGCCTGTATGCCTGTCAAAGGAGCTATCACTCACAAACACAAACAGATGTTCTTTATGTGATCCTGTGTCAATTTATTAACATCAGCTGTTGTGTGTAATACAGTGTGTGTCAAACAACGTCTTCATAGGTGAGGGGAGCATCCCATTTGTCATTCTGCGGTTTTTGTTTTTCTTAGCTGGCACTCTTGTGCTGCACTCTCTGCCTGCCGTAATGAGGAACGTGCTGTCTGCTCCCATGTCGCCAGGGAGCTTGTCACAGCATGGAGGGCTGCCACAAAAATATGCTGAAGCCAGCAAAGAAAAAAAAAAACCTGCCCAAGAATGATGATTTATTCACACAAAAGAATGCTATTGACATAAGGAGGTGTGAAAACATGTCTTAATGCCGTTTCCCCCTTTCCCTTAATTTTTCCATTTCTCTCCGTCTCGGGCTCTCTCCCACTTTCTAATCCTCTCACCAGGTGGGCCAAAGGAGGAAGTGTAATCAAGGAAGTCTCCGGAGACACATATGAGGTTATTGTGGACCATTCATTCTTCACAGAGCCCGTTTCCTGTGAAGTCACCAATCCTCTCGGCAGCACAAACATCAGCCGCAATGTCGACGTCTACTGTGAGTGGCCCTCTTTAAGCAGTACTGCATTAATGCAAGAAACGTGATAACGCATGATTATGGATTTTACTGCCTCGTGTGTTTTGACACTTAGCTATGAGGAGGTGACACTTTAAAGCTGATGCTTCACTATTCATTTTGTTATACACCCTGTTTGTTTTCAACAGTTGGTCCTCGAATGGCCGCAGAGCCTCAGTCGTTGCAGGTGGACCTCGGATCTGACGCTGTGTTCAACTGTGCCTGGACAGGAAACCCCTCTCTTACCATTGTGTGGATGAAGAGAGGGTCTGGAGTTGTAAGTACAGCTTCAGTGTATTTTTAACACATAATTATGTTGCACCCTTGAAATGAACCGGTCAGAACTTGTCCATCTTCACTTTTAGCAACTTTTATTAAAGTCTTTATATGTGATTTTTCACACTTAAATATAATATAAATCAAGTATCTCCTCTGAAAATAACTCTGTGAGTCATGACTGTCTACAATGGGTGTAACACCCGAGTCCCACTGTCTGTGATGTTTTCAGAGTTTTCAGAGTCCTATCTTCAGTTTGTTTACATCGTTGGGACAGCCAGCTGACTCCTCCCCTCGTGTATAAAAGTAGTTTAATTGAGGGACTAGAGAAAAGAAGAATAACATACTGTACTCACTGCTGAACTGTGTTTCTAGATCACACTCATTTCAGGTAAATTTACATGCAGTGTAATATGAGCATAATAAAGATCGCTAGCATTAGCATGCTAACACAACAATACACTGCAAGTTGTTTTGGTTTCATGCTGGTGCTCAAGGGCGACATCTACTGGATCAGAAAATTGCATATAAAGCCTTTAAAGAAATGCCCCACAGCTTTACACAAGTTTTTCAGCCTACACACATCTCTGTGTCTTCTTCACTGAGCCCCCCTTAAAGGGCCAGTGTCCTAATCTTAAAAGGTAGATAAAACACACAGTATTTACTGTTTATAACTTTTTTTTCTTTTACTAATGATCTTAGAAATATAAATTAACTGAAATACTTATGGAAATTAAATTAGTTTAACTAGACACAAGCATTGTCAGCGTGTTACACCTGTATTAGAGAAATACCAGTACCTATCTGGCCTTTATGAAGTAGAGGTTTCAAGGCCAGACTCCATATGCCCTGCCCTCATATAAGATCTGTTGATTTGATCTTAAAATTCAGACTTATTCCACCTTTCCTTTTGTCAACATCAAAGGCCAAAGCCAACCCCCTATACTCCACTGAGCTTAGACCCTAAATTGGATTTTAATAATTGAGCAGAGGTACCCTTTAAAGTATTAAATGGTCCATGTGCTGCTTTTCCTGTTTCGCCAAAGGTGCAAAAGGTGCCTTTGCCTGTCACTGCATTCCGATGATCTCTGACTTATTTTTTGCCGCAGGTGCTTAGCAACGAGAACCTCCTGACGCTGAAATCCGTGAGACAGGAGGACGCGGGGAAATATGTGTGCCGCGCCGTGGTCCCGCGCGTTGGAGCCGGGGAGAAGGAAGTTTCTCTCACAGTCAATGGTAAGCTGAGTAATTGATATGTCTTTTTAATCAGATCCCAGAGAGCCCTAAAAAAACAAGTTGTCTTAATGTTGCTCATACAAGTGTGAGTCTTGAGGTCGGAGGTCATCAGCAGCAAGAAGAAAGCAATTTGTCACATGGGTCGATATTAATTTGTTTTTCTGCCTTCCCAAGGACTACACAGCTTTTAATAGCGTGACAATATCTTGGAGGAATGTCTAATTTTACAAGGCATGGGAAACAACAAAAACATAAGGCATGACAAAAACAGAAAAACACAAGCATATGACACACAGCCTGGCCATGCACATTACATTTACTCACAAAGGTAATGTGATAAAACAGAGCTGCCACCATTGTAAAAACAGCTCTATATATAGACAGTCTTTAAGATCTGGTGACACATTTCATAACCAGGTGAGTTGTACTTAAATGCTAATCACATTCCATATGAGTCAAAAGAGAATGCTGCCTTTTCTGAGGCACCCACTGACTAATGAATAGCAGCCTTGGCAGGAGACCTGGCAACTCTCAAACAAATGGCTGCATTATCAGTGCTTAATATTCAGGGGAGCATGCTTGAATGATGTGGCAGAGGTTCTTAGTTTACATGTCTCTGTGTCCATGAGAGAGAAATCCAGGCCAAAAAGAGAAAAAACATAAGATGTGAAAAAAGAAAGGACAAAAAAAAAGAAAAACAAGAGAGGAGGGTTTAAGAAGCTGGCGAGATGATGCGAGTTAATGCTGACAGTGTATCAGTGCACATTTCAAAAGCTAACAAAGGAGTTTGCCTGTAAGCAATTCTGGTGCTGATTCGGGGATGAAAATACATCATGTAGCAAACAGTGTGTGTAAAGATTTTCTGTTTTTTTCTGTTTTTTTGGAAACACAGACTTTAGCTTTGCATATCAGAGAGAGAGAGTGGGATACCAGAATTCCCTCCAGCGCAAGATCAGAACCATGACTTTCTATGAACTGCAATGAGCCCCCCCCACCCCGCCCCCACCCCGCTCCTCCTCCTCGTCCCAAGAATCCAGCTCAAATCAAGGCAGAAGAAGCTTAAGGAAGAATCCTGATTAATTCTATTGTCTCCCTCGCTGTGCATGTCAACCTCTCAGCATCTTCACTGCAGCCTTAATATGTTCACAGAATTCATACAATCCAATGAAACCAGAGCTTTTTTTGATGCTTCTTATCCCTGCTCATGTAACTCTTGAGACTCTGGGATGTTTTCTGTAAAACGACGCCGTGAGAGAAGGAAGACGGATTGTTTTAATAAAGAATATAGCACAAAACAAACTCTGAGTAACCTGGGGAAATGCACAACAAAGCTGAAATGGCATGTTTATTTAGTCTCCGCAGACTTAATTCAAGCAAATTCTGAACGTCTTTTTTATTTGTGTTGATTCTTCCTCTCTTCTTTTTTTTGCGCCTTGCTCTTTCGTGTTGGAATTGGTATATTTGACATTCAAAAGCCTCTTCCTCTTCACCCTTCTGAATAATTGAATTTCAGCTTCTTCAGTTTTTTTTTCTCTCCAAAACCACACAAGGAATCCTGCGCCATTTTTTTTAATACCCAGGTCCTTGAGGCGCATCAGATTGTCTTAACTTGTGAAAGTGCAAACACTGCGGTTGAAGTGCAGGGTTTGGAGAGGGGTGCACTTTTTTCCGCTCTATTGATTCTCTCTTGCCAGTATCTGGACTGCAACGTCTTACCTCTGATCAGCTTATAAGCCCCACAACACAGACAGTCAGCGAGACGCAAATGATTCTGACACTAAGTAACTTAAGATAATGGATGAGTTAGCTTCGGGGGGGAGAAGGGGCGGTGATATAGTAAATATCAGACAATACTTTACATATTCAGCGTTTTCATGATGCAAGGTTGTCTGCTGCACATTTGAATGCCTTCTTTTTTGTTTGTTTGTTTTCCCTGCAGTTATCCCCCCCAATTCCTGATGTTATCATTTAAATTACATGTGTTTATAATTTGTCATTCCCTCTGTCTCCCTCTTCTCCACCGTTGTGTGTCACTGGCTCCCACTGCGGCATACCACACAGACATGAGGATTCCCGCTTTCCTTGGGGAAGAATGTAATTTAATTATAATCAAACAGCTAGCAGGGGAGGCAGTTTGGGTTTAAGTCACTAATGGATACATATTGCTTACTCTAGTCAAAGATTTTCAGAATGGGGCGCTCCTCAACATTTCAAGTGGCTACATGCCACGAAGAGGGTCTGTGTACATTCATGCATGTGATTATTTACATAGTATACAATATATATGCATGGGTTGTTTCACAGTCCTGCAGAAGTTGAAATGGAGAGAAGTTATCTGACATGCTTCAGGGGGTCTTGCTTGCGTATACTTATAGATCATGTACATAGAATAAATATTCATTAATATACGTACAAGTGCAACCAGATCTGAACTGCCATTTCTGTTTGTGAGCATGCGTGTGACTTTGGGTAAAAGCATATGCGTGTAATGACACACATACAGCTACTTGGACAGCCTAGGGAGAGAAAGCCCATTACCACAGTAAGGGAGAGGGAGGGTCGAAGAATTCCCACAATATCCCACAGAGCACTGGGTTGTTATAGATCTTTTTCTTTTCCTGCCATTTCTCTTTTCTAGACAGCCTTTATGTGCCTCGTTAATTAGCATCCCAGCCTTCTTTAAAACCGGCAATGACACCATATAAGAAAGAAAAGTGCAAATTAATGAAGGAGAAAACTGCATTTAAGATGCAGCACATTTTAATCCAACTAGCTAAATTTAAGCATGAGATATCATATTGTGCGCTTCCACAAGACTTTCTGGAAGACTTTGAACTCACTTTTTGTAATTATACCTGCCACACAAAAATAATATATGTGAATATGTTACCTAATTTATTCCTCTTCCATGACATGGATGCAGGAAGTAGGGGTGCTAAAATCATGTATTAAAAAAATGTTTATACTGATGCTTACCCTTATTATATTCTAGTCCTTAATGACATTCATTGACACAGGTTAACGTTTTTTTCAAGATGTATTTTTGAGCTTTTAATGCCTTTATTGAAGAGATAGGACAATTGATAGACTCGGAAATCGTGAAAAGAGAGTGAGGAATGACATGCACGAATGGAGCCACAGGTTGGAATTGAACCTGGGCCGCCCTAAGTACATGGGACGTGCAACATAACCACAAGGCCATTGGTGCCCAACCTGTGATGTGTCCTCTTCCTTTAGTAGTCGGTAAATTGTTTCACAATACAACTCACAGCTAGATGTGCACACATTAAGGTGACTCAAAGTAAAGCTGCCTGCATGTCCTGTCACACAGAGCAGCCTAACCGGACCTTCCTCTAGAATTTGGAGTTCAAATTGAGTTTTGGACTGACTCCCAACTCTCCGTCATGCATGCTTACTTTGATGCTCCCTGTCTGTAAATACAAGCACTCCAAAGCTTGCATTTAACTCAATGCTAGATTTGTTATGATCATCAAAAGCAACTAAAAGTACCACCAACCACTGAACATACACACTGTGGTTTCTGTTTGTAGTGTTAAATGTTCTAGAATGAGTATGAGCTGCTGTTAAAACTCTAACAAGATATTCCTGAACATTTAAATTCATTAATAAAAGATGAAAGACGATGGTTGATTGCAGAAGTTTGGGCTTGGAAATTTGATTTTTGGAGCATAACAGCTCCAAGGTGTCCTCTGTCTGACCGTGGAGAGCATAGGGCTTGAGAAATTCCCCCTTGGTACGTCTGCTGAGGTGGAAAGGAGGTCCAGAAATAAACAGCTGGCACATTTAAAGCCAGCTTCCAACAATAAAGAGGCAATAGGTTTTTACTGGAATCTTGAACTGGCCAAATGATTTGAACGTGGCAGCACATATATAATGTCCACACCAGCACAGACAATTACAAAAGGGAACACACATATTAATTAAAAATGGATTACACCTTATGTTTAAGGCTTTAGGTGTGAGAAGCTTGTTTTGTGAATTGTCAAAATCGCATTATTTTTGTTGATACTTTCTCCAATTGTTTTGCACCACTGACGAGAATCCTGCTTCTAGTAACCTTTCAAAGTTTTCAAATTTGATTAAGCAGAAACGTAGCAAACAGAAGAAAAGGATTAGTGTTTTCACATGTGCCATCTGTGCTGAGTTATTACTGTAAATGCATTTCACAGTGTGACGTTTAGACAGTATGGCCAACGCTGCATGCAAGAAAAGAGACAGGGAGGAAATACAGTCTGGTCCCTGTTGTAAAGACCTACTGAGGCAAAACAGGCAAATATAGCGAGGCTGTCGGAGCGTTCAGCATAGAGAGAAAAAAAAGTGTTTATTCCTGCAGAAGTCAAACGTGATGCTTTTCCTCAGCTGACCAATTAAGGAGGAATATAAATGTATTTGTGATTGTGTCTCCATATCTACTCAAAAATCACTTCTGTTAAGGCAGTAAAGCATAGTTGAAATAAAACAGCAGGGGAAAATGGCTTCGTGTAAGCAGTAATGATTCTCCCACACTTTTAAAGACACATGCAGTAATGATAATGTAGATGGAAAAAGGCCTTTCATAAGAATATCCTCCCCCTCACCAAATTGTGTCTGATTAGCAATATTACAAAACGACCTAACCGGACTGTGTTTAATATTCAAATCTTTGGAGAAATTGGTCAACTTTTTTGTTTTTGGATCCCGATTTATTCCATCTTTAAGTTTGAGACAATGTATTTCCATCTTTAGAATGGAAAATGGTAAATGGTATGGACTCGTATAGCGCTTTTATAGTCTTCAGACTACTCAAAGCAGTTTTCCACCGCGTGTTACACCTACACATTCTCACACTGATGGTAGAGGTTGCAAAGTAAAATGACCATCAGAAGTAACTAATCCCATTCATACACTGTCGAAGCAGCGGGAGCAACATGGGGTTTGGACATGTGGCTGCAGAAGCTGGGGATTGAGCCCCTGACCTTCCGGTTGAGAGTTGACCGACTCTAAGAACTGAGCCACAGCCGCCCCAGAAAACATTGACATGTTAAAACACACACTAAAAGATCTGTCCCTTGCAGCTACAACCAACATACACGGTCCCCACACGACGGACTTCTTCAAGGTGAAACGAATGGCCACCTGTGACCACACCAGGCATTGCTCTTCAATCTCATTCGCCCTGTGGCTTGTTTTGTGTTCTCTTTCATCATACATGAAAAATAGAGAAATCGAAAGAGATGCAATGAGGTTGTATGAAAATGTCAGGCTTTTTCTTTTTTCTTTTTCAAAGCCAATGCCTCACAGGAAGGGAAATGTAAGTCCTGGCCTTTTGACACCCACACTAATATTATGTAATCAGTTTGCAAAACGTCCACTCCAGATTTAACAACTTGTCAAATGAGTGAGCAGAACATTGCACCCAACATTTTGATTACCTCCCCTGCTGCTAACATTGATGTTGTAGAGCCACCCACCTCCCTGATACCAAAGGTGTTTGTGCTGTGATCACATAGTGTGAGCTGCAAACACGTACTCATACAAACACAGCATACACACACACACACACACACACACACACACACACACACACACACACACACACACACTTACTTTCAACTCAAGCTGAGCCAGTGAGATAAAGCTATTTAATTATATTCCTCATTTGAAGCTCTGATCCAAATAATAGATCCTCCCCAGTCACTACCAACGGCCCTTTGCAGCCGGCAAGCCATTGATCTAGCTGTGTTTTGACAGTTGTAGCTCGTATCCACCACCTATTTTTCATCTCCTAATCACAATATAGTACATGTGCGATGTGTCCAGCACATACATGCCGTACAACACTGTCATCTTTGGATGTAAAAACACTGAAAGAAAAGTACCAGTGTTTCCTCCACTATCTGCATTCATTCATTCTGTAGCAGTAGAGCAGCCTTCCAGCATCCTCCAGTAGCATACCAAGACACCATCTGGCAAAGTCTCATTAAAATGCTAATTCATTTTAATAAGAGACAGGTAATAAACTGCAATTATGTACCGTCAGAGAGAAGGCAGAGAGCGGGAATTTGAGGGAAGTTGATGAAGAAAAACAGTGTTTTCTCACTAATCAAGAAGCTGCCTTACTTGCCGCCCCCTTAAACCCACAACCCTAACCATAACTACCACAAGGGATGCGCTTAATGTTTTGTTTTAATGGCTTTATAAAGGGATTGTTTGCTTATTTTCAACCTTATCTGTGTTGTTGGCACCGTTTTGTGTCCTTAGGGCACACCTGCAAAATATATTGCTTCCCCCACTACAAGCCTATTATTTAATGTCGTTTCTGACCTGTAAGAATTCCAGGCAGCTTCAATTCAAGCCTCAGCCAATTAATGCTGCGATGAAACTTTGCTGCAAACAGCAACATAGCATTTTAAAATATATATGCTGAGGCTGTTGTGCTGTATGAGGGTACATTCAACAATAATGTGTCTTTCTTACATATTTAGCTTTATTTATTTGGCAGGAGAGGGCAGGTTCAAAGGTCAATATAGAAAGCACTGAGGAATATATAAGGCAATTGGCTTTATTTACCATGAACAAAGATTGAATGTTCTCAACAACAACACAAAACCTCCCTTTATAGGATGTTTTAATGAGATAAGATGGACAATAACTTTTTTCCTTTTTTTTAAATTTGAAAACCCAGCTCATAATTTGACGATTTTTATCATTTTAAATTGAACAGTGCTTAAAATGAGATACTAAATTATCTGATAACCCCAATAAAAACTACTGTAAAAGAAGAAAAAGCTCATTTGAACAAATGTGTTTGATATTGTGTATTTCAATTGTAAAGAAAATGCATGATGACACACACGTCATGCCTCTGCAGGTCTATGCTGTATTTGCATCTATTTAAATATGAAACAAATGTACGGTGACTATAATCAGTAGCCTCTGTACTTGTGCTTTCCTGGAATTGTACTTGTGCAATGAGCTCTTCAGGACCAAAAGGAAAATAGACTTGAAAGACAGAATTGGGTCATGTGTGACATCTTGTCTTCATTTTACTGCTGTCACCTGGTGTGAACAGCCTCCAAACCAGATGGCAGGCAGACCAGTCGTTTAGGCCGGGCTGCCCTTGTCAGGCGAGATCATGTAGCCTCACCACAGTTTAATACGTATTGGCTTATTGTCCGTTCCATGCACCTCCTGCTTCCATATTGTTTTTTAATTCAGAGAAAGTAATTCCATTACATATGATTTACCTTTGAAGTAGCCTGAACTGTATGATGTGTATCTTTAAGCTTTTATGAAATAATTAATGATTATGATATAGATAAAGAATAAGACATCTTTAAGGTAGAAGAAGAAGATAGACCTTAATAATTCTGCGAGGGAAAATTTAATTTTACACTCAGTTGTTGAACATGCTACACACACATACTCTGAAATACACACACATGCACAAACAGGATCCTGTGGACATGCACTAATGGAGAGATGCCAGAGTGAGGGGGCTGCCCTGAGCTGTTAGGGAGAGGGGGGGTTCAGTGCCTTGCTCAATGGCACCTCAGCAGTGCTCAGCAACTGAACTGGCAACTCTCCAGCTACCGGACCAAATTCCAAACTTGGTCCTCACGGGTTCCCAGCCCAAGTCCCTTCAGTATGAGCTTCTGCCGTCCCAAGATGAAGCAAACTTTACTGTCTCCTTTACATTTTCTTGATGTGTGTCCGTTTTTATTCATGAAAGTCATTATCAAATTGTATATTTATAGAGAGGGATAGCTTTAGGTTTGTACTAACCTGTTTGTTCAGAGAAATTAAAGGCTGCAGGAAATTTCACCGAGGTGACACACAGTCGACAATGTGATACCACTTCACAATGGCATTTATTGTTCTTTCCATCTGTGTTTTCCTGAACGTGCTCCAAACAACTATACTGTAGCACTCTCCAGCTCTGTTTTTTTCTCCGTGGGAGAAATCCCTGCCAGCAATAAATCAGCAATTTCTTGATCCAAAACGAGGTCTGGGTATACCCACTTATTCCCTGCTTTGTGCAGTTCTGATGTCCTTGGGGTGACTGTACTAGGGGATGATGCTTGTTCATATTGCACTGCAATATGATCTTACCCAGGAGTCCCAAATTACAGAGCGCAGTTCAGGTGTTACTGCTTGGAACAGGAGAGCAATTATAATATAATGTGCCCTGAAAACGAGATTGTGCAGAATTGTCATATGACCTGAAACTAAAAAATTAGTTTAATTATTCATGTTTCAATTTCTGTGACTCATCGTCAAACTTAAAAAAAAAAAAAAATTATGATTGTTCTCTTTCAGGGCCGCCCACTATCTCCAGTACTCAGACTCAGCAAGCTCTACACGGAGAAAAAGGGCAAATCAAATGTTTCATTCGAAGTACACCTCCACCAGATCGGATTGTAAGTACTGGCTCCTCGGGACTATCTGCTGTTTTTTTCTCTGATCTCTTCTTTGTCTCTTTGTTAGCTAGATTATTCAATATCTTAAAAATAATCGTAAAGAGGGTTTTTTTATAGATCCTTGGCACTCGTTCAATGTTAGCCATATAGTATTATCCCCTGTTTTTATTTCTGTGTCCACATTTCTTTTTACTTGACTGAAATGTATATATTTACCTCACATGGAAAGCAATGATAAGGTAAAGATAAGGTGGAGAATTATTTCATTATAGCTACAACATTTGTGTTCATATAAAAATCCGGATATGAAACTACAGTTTGAACCCTCAGTTCCTCGTTTAATGCACACTTTGCTCTGTTAACACTGATCCCATCAAGATTTATGGACCTTATATAAACAGCCTACTCTCTCGGCTCACTTTGTGCTGATTGTTATTTCAAGTGTGTGTGTGTGTGTGTGTGAGAGAGAGTGTGTGTTTGTATGCTATATGTCTCAGAGTAATTGCCATACTCCATCATCTAATGTGTGTTTTTTTATTATATTAATGTCAAGCATTAACTAGCAATGTAATTAATATGAGGGTTTTTTTCAGAGGGCTGTCTGTGGAAGCCGCCTTTTCTGGGTCTCCTCGATGATTTTTAAACTCCTGATCAGAGTATCTATCCAGATGTCCTTACTTTAGCTTTGTGTCTTCAGAAATGACTAAAAAAGATCTGTTTATGTCCATTTAAAGTAAATCAGTTACAATTACAGGAGAACATCCAAATTTTGTCTCAGACTTCTTTGCAGCCTTTTTTTTTTTTTTTTTTTAAAGGTGCACTATGTAGTGTTTGGTAGAGAAATGTGAAATTGTGTGAATTTGGTCCCTGGAACACTGTCTGAAGATAAAATGCTATGTGAGAAGTTATGGTGAGGGGGCCCGCAACAGTGAAAGCGTAACTCTCCTGGTAGCTTTGAAGCTCTAAACTGTGTTCAGGGACCCTTTTTTTTTCTTTGAGTAAAGTTTGTGTATTCAGTTCAGAAAATAGAGCACAGAATTGTTTCACTTCTCCAACTTTCAAAACTTCACTACCAAAACTCCATAGTGCACCTTTAAAGTGAGCATTCCCCCAAAGATTTATGTTTGGGCTTTTAACTTTATTCAGTAGAGTAGTGGCTAGAGTATGAAACAGGGAAAAGAGCATGTCGGGAATGACATGCAGAAAGGAGAGCCTCAGGTGGGACTTGAACCCGGGCTTCTGGCTTAGAGGACTTAAGCCTCCATACATGAAGCGTGACCTCACTGCTAGGCCATCAGCACCCCTGCATCCCTTATTTTAATGCAAAACAAAATCACAGAAGCTTCATGAATAAAAGCAAACTACGTGTCCCAGAAGTCAATTGAAAGCATTCTTTCACTTAAGAATGATCAGAAAATACTTGAGCAAAGTCAAAGCGTGCCAATATGCGTGCCATATTTCACAACTCCAATTAGCCACCTGTTCTTTGTTGCAAAGCTTGAAGAAGAAAATGTTGTTTATCCTCTAAGTACCAAATCATATCTCTGGCTTTTTATCCAGTATAATGAATTCCCTCATCTGTTAGTTAGAAATCTGTAAAAATGGAAGCATGTTTTTTCTCACCACAGTCCCTCAAAACAAATGAATTCTGCAGTAAAAAAAGAACCTCGAACAAATGTGGCTACTAAATGGCATGTGTTAGATTTTTATTGCACTGCATAAATAAATCCAGAGTTATGCAGACATCTATTGTTTTCCTGCGTTTAACTAGCCACATCACTGTAAGTGTCAACATCACTTCAAGGGAGTCTATTATCAGTCAGGGCCATTACTTGTTTATTCTTTGTATACTGCAACAACTAAAAGCCACCTCAGTTTTTAGACATTTCATGATGCTATTATTCAAAACACATGTATTTCACATACCCTGCTTCGAGCCACTGAGACAAACAAGGACACCAATTGTCAATTGATTAGTCTGAATACAATAAGGACCTTAAAGGAAGAATGTGCAACTTTTTGATCCAATAGATGTTGCCCTTCAGCACCAGCATTAAACCAAAACAAACTGCTCTTTAGTGACCCCTCAGCTATTCTGAAGTCTCTGCTCTCCTCCAGCAGCACACCTCCAACTCCACTCACAAAGTAGTTATCAATTAGAACACACTATAATTAAGCACCATTAAGCACAAACGGCAGAAAGAAACGTCCTTTGCTCGAGATGATCGCCTGTGGCCTGCGTTGTTGTGTTAGTATGCTAATGTTAGCACACTTTGGTTAACTCATAGCTTCATGCTGCACATACATTGACATGTAATGAGTGTGATTTAAAAACACTTACATGACATCCAAATAATCAGTGTTATTCTTCTCTCTAGTCCTTGACTAATAGTGCTTTAAACCCATGGCCATCCCGTCCATGTAAACATGATGTAAACACGGCTCTGACAACAATACAGCTGGCGAGACTCATGCTTCTCACTCATTGTAGACAGTCATGACTCAGAGAGACATTTACAGATTATACTTGATTTCTGCTGTATTTATGTGTAAAAGTTGTATATTTCTTCATTTAACTGAAAAATTATCATTGGCCTATATCAGTGATCTTCAACTGGCAGGCCGTGGGCCACATCCGGCCGCCTGAAGCTTCCTATCTGGCCCCTAGAATATAATTAAAATCATAAAACGTGACGAGGAAAAAAACATGTTCTTGTATTTAAGGTTGTCTTTTAAAAACTCCATATGGCTATTTAAGCAACCAAAAACATTTGAGCATGAAATATAGGTTTGTTCAGTTTTACAGAAATCCACCTGTTAGCTGTTACTGTGTTTGCTTCTTCAGAGCAATTAAAAAAAAGAAGAAAAAAAACTTTAGTTCAGAGAAAAGCACTACTCTTATAATTATTGCTTGGGGATTCCCAGCGGCAAAATCAGGGAAACACAGTAATTAAGACACTTTGCTGGGAAGAGATCTGCCTCCAGTATTTGCAATGTGATATTATCTCCCAGACATTTACTAAGTCTAGAGACGGCAGATATATCTAACTGGCAGGCGGCAGCTTGTCAGCTGTAAATGGCAAAAAAAAAAATCACAACATTCTATTTCCATCATAACCTGCTGTTCTAACCAATGTGTTAACCATGCAATATCGTTATATATACAGCTACACTAACCTTGCAAAGCGTATGCAATTACATGTGCATCTTTCCGCATTCTTAAGTACATCAGATGCAAAAATATCTATACAGCTTTATCTTGATGCTGTTGATTTTATATGCATGCCGTTCATTATCATGTTCACATTGATTTGCTAGATTTTCCTCCTCAATATGTTTACATCAGTTTGCGCACAGCACTTTGTACACCATAGCCTTAAGCTTCACACCTGCCTTCACCGTCTTGTTTGTCTTATGTATGTCATCTCTCTGTTCATTGGTTGCCCATTGTTCTGTTGTGTGCACTTCTTGTCTTAGCATCTGGTCCAGAGTTATATATTTCATTGCTGTACATCTTGTATGGGGATGAATGACAATACAATTGAAAAATGTAAGGTATGCATGCAGCATATAATTTCTCTTGTCAAAAAAAAAAGAAAAATAATATCACACCATTGGTCCTCTTGTGTCATCCTGCAGGCCTGGTCATGGAAGGAAACTGTGCTGGAGTCTGGAACATCTGGACGCTACACTGTGGAGACGGTCACCACGGAGGAAGGAGTCATCTCTACGCTGACCATGAGCAACATCGTCCCGGCTGACTTTCAGACCATCTACAACTGCACTGCGTGGAACAGCTTTGGCTCTGACACTGAGATCATACGCCTTAAGGAACAAGGTGGGAGCCAAGGTTCGACAGGTTCCACCTTCCTCTTTTTAAGAATCACACCACTGTGGTTTAACCACATGTAGTGATTGATGGTAGTCAAAAAAGCTGTGATTTTATGAGCCAGTCACGGTGTTTGTTCTCTCCCTGTGTGTATGTGCTATTGACATGTTTGTGTGTGGAGTGTGTGAGTTCACATATGCACTTTATTTCAAAGCACATGTGTGGTATATAAGTAATAAGGATGCACATGTACAGGTTAAAACAACAACACTTTTAACAACTTATTTGTAAGATTCATGAACATAAAATGTCATGTGGTAGCTCGAGCATTTTCAATTATATTTAGAACTTATATGTACACTATTTGCTTATTTTTGAATTTCTCAGAGAAAAAAGTTTTTTTTTAAATTTGCTAGTTTGGGACTGCTGGAATGTAAATTGCTGCATGGCCTAAATTCTGAAGCGTTTGATGTACAATAAATGTGGCATTGAGAAAGAAAAATTCCTGACAAATTAGTTTTCTGGTTTAACATAAAGTGCAAATCCCTGGTAATTTGAACTGGTGACCCTTAGCATGCTCTGCACACTGAATTTCAAATACACCGTGTCTCCTGGTTTGCTTCTATATAAAAGACAACTTTTTTTTTTAGAGAAAAAAAAAGTGCCTTTATCTGCTGACCTTTTCCCCTCTAGCGTAGGAGATGCCGTGTTTTCCATCCACTTAATCGCAAATGATAAATTATAAGCTGCTTATGTGAAAGTGACATTGATCAATGAAGACATTAAATAGGCTTTAATGGTGTACGGAGAGCACTTGGTTGTTTTGCATTTGTTTAAAACGGGAGAAGGTCATAAATGTGGGCTGGTAGCTGGGATCATTAAAGTGTGCTTTAATGAGGACCTTCAGTGTAAGGGAAGCATGTCGAAGCAGCTTTAAGCTATAACGAAGCACACAAACATGATTATGCTTAATCTAATGCACATAATGAGAAGAGAAAACCTTTGTGAAGTTTGTCTTACATAGTATAAGACAGTGGGATGATGAGGTAACATGAGGAGGGGAAATATCAACCTTTACTGAAAACCAAAAGGTTGGTTAAGTTTTAGATTTGATGTGATTTAGACTGATGGTACATACAGAATGATTTGTCTTTGCCTTGAACCTGTGTTTTTTTTTCATCGCCTAATACCTGAAGCACAATTAAAAGTCAATTAGAAGGATATATAAGAGTATACCTTCCCTTAGTTCCTGTTTGTGACAGAAACAGAAAAGAGAAATGTTTACCTACATTGAATTTAACGTGCACTTGAGATGTCCGTTGCACGAAATTGTCGATCAACATTTTCTCCGTTTGCTCTCTGCAGAATCACTCCCCGTGGCAGTGATCATCGGCATCGCTGTGGGAGCATTTGTAGCCTTCATTGTCCTCATGGGCACTATCGGCGCGTTCTGTTGCACCCGATCCCAAAGAAGTAAGTCTCCTCTTCCCCTTTTTACATCAATTCAAGCATGCATGCCAAAGAACTGTATTTCAGCCAAGCACATAAGAAAAATGTCCATCTATTCATGTAGAGATTATGTTCAGTAAATCAACTAGGGGGGGGGAGAGATCAGGTAACTTTTCTTGCCTGTGTATTTTGACTTAAGGTGTCTTAAAAACTCCTTTGTAAAAAAAAAAAAAAAACATAAAAATGAAGATTCTCAGCTGCTTCAACAAATTTCTGAGTCGTATTGAGCTTCTGGAACATACTGGGGGTACCGCACTTAATTCAAGATGCAATCACTTGCTAAGATGGACATCTTCTGTGGTGCAGATAGCCAGATTGTAATGAGGGCTCATTTCATGCAATCTCAGTCTGGCTCCATTCGCTTTTTGAGGTTATTTACATCCTTGCGCTGTGTTCACTGCCATCCACCCATGTACCAAGTGACTCAGGTTAGAGGCAGACCTTCACTGTCTCTACCCGAAAGAACCAATTTTATGCTACTGGTTCCCTTCAGCATGTCTATTGTCTGTATACTACAGAGGAAGCGCACCTGGTTATGCCCTCACTGCCCGTCTCCATCTGTGCTCACCAGAGAGAACTTGCAAGCAAAATTAAGACAGAAAGTAAGACTTTGTTATATGACAGTATCATCAGCATTATCCCAAACAGAATGAGCCACCGTGGAAGGATGTATGAGATTGCATATGTATGCAGAAAAAAGAAAAAAGATGATCTCGTGTTGGCAGGAAACAAATGATTAATAATGCTTTGTATTGTTTTTTCTGGGAAACGGGGGGGGAGCTCTCACAGACCAAACCAAGGGGGATCTTTGCTAAATTCTGTAACACTGCACACTACACTTGGGGGGGGGGGGGGGGGGGATTAAAATGTCAACAAATACAGAATGGTGTTTATCCAGCTTATTGAGATATATATGTGTCGTCTGTTTTCTGCCAGATCTGAAAGGAGTGGTGTCGGCGAAAAATGACATCCGTGTGGAGATTGTGCACAAAGACCACAATGCGGCGCGTGAGAACGAAGAACACCAATCGATGAAACAGCTGATGGTGAGTGTGAGTGTCACAACGTACTACTTTTCACTCATTGGTTCCTGATTTGAGAAATATCATATCAACTTTATTGTACTTTTGCATGCCCTTGTTAAACGGATGGTTCCATGATAAGTGCACCCTGTTCTTGACTTTGCTTTTGTGGAATGAGTAAAAGAACAATAGGCATGGTATATATAATAATAATAACTTCAACTAATAACTAATAGCACCTTTTAAAAACACAGGTTTACAAAGTGCTTTGACAAACAGCAAAAACAAGAACAAACTAAACCAAACACAGAAGAACATAAACAACAGCAAGAACATAACAAATGCTAAATACTAAAAATAATTAAATACAGTTCAACAGAAAAGATCCCATAGTGCACGATACCCAACAGACATATATAACCTGACCATCACAAGAACCATCATAAGAACCCAGGAAACACAAGAACCATCATAAGAACCCAGGCAGCACAAGAACCATCATAAGAACCCAGGAAACACAAGAACCATCATAAGAACCCAGGCAACACAAGAACCATCATAAGAACCCAGGAAACACAAGAACCATCATAAGAACCCAGGCAACACAAGAACCATCATAAGAACCCTGGAAACACAAGAACCATCATAAGAACCCAGGAAACACAAGAACCATCATAAGAACCCTGGAAACACAAGAACCATCATAAGAACCCAGGAAACACAAGAACCATCATAAGAACCCTGGAAACACAAGAACCATCATAAGAACCCTGGAAACACAAGAACCATCACAAGAACCCTGGAAACACAAGAACCATCATAAGAACCCAGGAAACACAAGAACCATCACAAGAACCCAACAACACGAGCTGAGACCAAGAGGAGCAAAGATTTAAAAAGATGTAAGAAACTAAAAGAGCTAAAAGCAAATAAAAAGAGAACAGCAATAAGAAGGTAAGAGCAGTAAAAGAAATAGAAACAAGTGAAGAAATTATCAAAAAAAAGAAACCAATAATATTAATGAAAATAAAAAGTATATATAAATATAAAACATAAATAGACAAAGTAAGTAAGATAAGAAATGACCTAGTTAAAACATAAGAGGAATTAAGATAAGAGCATAAATAAAAGGACAGTAAGAAGTAAAAGAAGATAAAAATAGTAAAACCAGTAAGAAAAGACATATGTGTTGCACTGATCTATGACTGTGCATGTTAAGGTATAGGGTCTATATTTATCTATTTGATGCCACCAGTCCCATAATCAGAAGAGACCCCGATGCTTTGTAACTATGGAGATGCTGATGCATACCGGTTAATCCTACAGTGGGTGTATTTCTCTATATGCCTTCAAGACAAAGGATTGTTTCCTCTTTGGAACAGTACCAGTGTTTTGGTTTTTTCATGCAGCTCGCTCGAGGGCTATAGGCTATTTGCAGTGTGAGGTTTTAGATTACAATTTCTTTAAAAAAATACTTAATACAGTCGAGTACTCGATGTTAGAGCAGGCAAATGAACTTACCTTACAAATCTGCATTTTGTTAAGAAATCTATATTCATTATTACATTATACATTATTAATGTTCCCCACCTGCCTGATTGAAGTCAGAACACGTGTGACAACTATCCAAACAGACTGAGTGAAGGATAGAAGTGAAATCCTTTTCAATCTCAAAATGTCTTTTTCTTTGCCTTTGACACGGGCACTTAGTCTACTCTGCTTGGTTTTGTACGCAGGTTGAGCGAGGAGAATTCCAGCAGGAATCTGTTCTGAAGCAGCTGGAGGTATTACAAGAGGAAGAGAAGGAGTATCAGCACATTAAGGTACGACTCATGAGCGATGACGGCACGGAGCTGTTAACGTGGGAGAAGGGGGAGTTAAAGGTGGTGTGTGAGAGAGAGAGAGAGAGAGAGAGAGAGAGAGAGAACGCCTGTGGGGGCTGAGGGTGGTCTTAAACTCTGGGACTGAAAATAGCTGAAAAGCATTAATCCTTCTCCTGCTACACATGATTTTCAGAGGATTAATCCAGGGGGCAAAATGACTCGTGTTAAGAGGTGTGATTTTTTTATTAATTAGTCTTTCATCAAAGGTAGTTAAGGAAATCAGAAGCTGGTTGGCCCTGAGCTGTTATTAAAGTTACTTGAGGTGTAACGTATACCATATAGAAGGGATTAAAAAGAACGTACTGCGAGAGATTCTGGGTACTTGTTTGATACTGGCTGATCTCTCAGCAGCATATCTGATACATTTCAGTTACATAGTGAACCTTCATTCAGCACTTACTTTGCAGTATAGCTATCTGAAAAATAAATAAATCTTCACCCTGGTCATTAGAGAAACATTGTGTACCCATTAGTGTGTTATCTGTCATATCAGAACCACTGGGAAGAAGAAAAACCGTATATCTCATCCAGACACAAATTGTCACTGTGCAATTTGTCTTCTCAAACAAAACCAGTGTTGCCACTCTCTCCCTGGAGTGTGCAACTGTTGTATCTGCCTGCTTACCTGGTTCCTTTGGGGGCCCAATTTCCTGATCCTACTTAATGACAGTGTGCATGAAGCGGGAGCAGAATGATGGGGGGGGGGGTTGAACAAGAGATAAAGGCCAAACATGAACAATCTCCCTGTCTACTGTCTGATAATGACAAGCATAACGAGGATCCTCTCAGGTGGTCGCTCTCTCATTTTACCCATTATGAGCATTCTTCTTTTGGGAATTTGCCGCCACGCTCACTGTGCTTGACATTCACATCCATTCACAGGAGGATGTGAGGGAAAAAAAAAAAAAAAAACACACTTACAGATACACACTCGAGCACCAACTAGACCCTTAGCAACAGCCGCCTGTGCCTGCACGCCTAACCAGACAAACGAGTGTCGCAGCTGTAGCCTCAGAAGCTATTTCAGTGCGTACATGAAAATCGCAGACAAAACAATCTGTTTAGGCCCAATTAAAGCCGGTATGTGAGTGAACTTTGTGGTGACACACTGGATGCCTAACTATGAATCATCAAGGCCCGTTTAATTAGCATGAAAGGGATTTTTAAGGTTAGCATGGGGGCTAACTATTTCCTAGCACTAAGGACTGTTTTTCTTGGGGTGTACAGAGCAGCCTGTTGCCTTATTTATTCTAAAGTCACTTTTTTACATCAAAAAGTGACCTTGATTGAGGAAAAAAACACCTAAATGAACAAACGGGGGGGGGGGGGGGGCTGTTTTAATCAAATAGCCTAATAGAAAAACAAAAAAGATTAATGCTGACAAAGTCTAAAGTGATAGTCTGTTTGTTTTTTTTTCATCTTCTCAATAGGACCCTACAAATGGCTACTATAGTGTCAATACCTTTAAGGAGCACCACACACCCACCATGGCCGTGACTCAGTCTGCTGAGGTGAGGAACCCCACCAACACAGCAACCCTGGGCAAGCAGCGGGTGCCCACGGGCATGTCCTTCACCAACATCTACTCAACTCTGGGAGCCGGTCCCAACCGCCTGTACGACTACAGCCAGCGCTTTGTGCTGGGCATGGGCAGCAGCTCCATCGAGCTGTGCGAGCGGGAGTTCCAGCGCGGCTCGCTCAGCGACTCCAGCTCGTTCATTGACACGCAGTGCGACAGCAGCGTCAGCAGCTACAGTAAGCCGGACGGCTACGTGCAGTTCGACAAAGACAGCAAGGCGTCGGCCTCCTCCTCGTCCCACTACTCCCAGTCCTCCTCGCAGAACTCAGATCTCACCCGGCCACTCCAGAAGCGCATGCAGACCCACGTCTGACCACCAGGGGAGGAAGGGAGTGTGAACCGGTGTGACAAACAGCCAGGATTGTAAAACTGTGACTGAATTGGCCCCTTAAGTTACAATGCAACTGGACACCTGGAGATGCATATGGGCTGGATGGCTTTAAGACACTCTCTGACTTGTTGAAATCCTTAAAAAGCGGATCAAGAAGCCTTATATTTTCCCCTCATGCTTAACCTATACACCACCTCCTTCTTTGACCTACAAGCAGAATTGTGCCATGGAAAGGTTATTTTGCCAACACAGACAACACCACAAGTTCAGAAATTGAAGCATTCACTACTTTGTGTTCTGCAGTATTGACCGCAGGGGGCAGGCCATTAAAAAGGCTTTTGTGTGACAATCAGTTCCCCTGGCAAAGACCATTTTTTTGCCTTTTGAAGATTGTCATTGATAAAAACTCAGCACGATGGACACGATAATGAGTGCAAGCCAATGTCCTGCTGCTCTCTTGTAGTTTGAAGCACAAAAATGAATGTGCATGTGTTTTTATTTTAATTTTTTATTATTAGTTGTTAAAGGGATTACCCCTCCTCTCTCCTACAACCTTCCCCCCTCGAACACTTTATGTTAAGCTTTCTTGTTGAAACTGGTCTCCCGTGTAGGTGGAAAAGAAACTTTCTCCATGTGCCCCCGCAGACGCCTCGAACATTCAAAAAGGCTGTGTTTTTTTCTCCACAGTCAAATCTGGGCCACAGAGGCGGGCAGATGAAGATGGGCTGAGATCTCATTTTAAAATCCCTGAGTCATTTATTTTTACTGTGACACTCTGCGATAAGGAACGTCAGTGTACATATGTGACTGTAATTTCTTTTTCTAGCATCTAATTTCTCTGTTTTCCCTCCTGGAGGACTGTAAATGAGACATTTGTGTCCTTATCTTCTTTGCCTTGAGGGTGTGTTTGAACTGTGTCAATACAAACTTTGACTAAGCCAGATAGACGTGCACTCTCAGCTCTTGTGTTTGATGGGGAGCTGGATCCTCCGTAGTGTTCCCCGCACACCAAACCCAGCTCTTGAGTGATGCAGCAGAAAGCCCACAGACTGCAACACGTGTTGCACTTGTGAGTTTCTCCTGCAGGTCGTCAGCCATTATACTTGAGGGTCCCCATTCAAGGAAATGTCAACATTATATTTTAGCTGAGCTTCCTATTATGTGGTTTTTCCCCATTGCTATGGCCAATATCATTGTTGACACAGGAGCTTGGTGCGACCTGACTGCCGGTCATCAAGAGACATGAAAAGCAAATTTAGAAAATGTGTTTTGTTTTGCTATCTGCGGCTCATTTTTGGCTACTGTGGAGCTAATGTTGACACCCTGACTCTTTGAAGTGCATTGTTTTAGTACTTTTTTTAAATTTTCTGTACTCTATGTGACATATGATTTTGGATTTGTTATTTAATCACTGCATTTGTTTTTAGTTGAGAGTAGAGACAGAGAGTAGTGATTTAACATGCAGCCACACAACACTTAATACCTAACGTCAAAGTTCAGAGCCTGTTGTCAAAGAGTGTTGTCGTCATGCTTTGGGCATGTGTTGTCGCAGAACAAACTTTTTAGCTAGGGTTCTGATTTTTTGCGTCAAAGAACACTCGGGATCGCAATGCAGATCGGTGCATAAGGCAGATAATATAAGATAACTGGGCAAAAATACTTTATAATACTGTGTATCCCCTACCTGTTGGCTCTGACACACCTCAAGATGCCAAGTTTGATCAGGACCTTAAAGTATGATTTTAACACAACCAAGTTCGTTTTGTACGAGCAGGCTTTTAGTGACTGGAGGGCAACCTTTACAGTAAACAAAGATCATTTATGTAACAGCAACATTTACACAATAGGCTACATTATATGATATTTGATGGAAGCTATCAACAGCCTCAAATGTCCGCGCTCAAGGTCTGCTCCACCCATGCTTTATCGCATCAATTTGGTTACTAACATTCCATTTTTTTAAACATTTTTTTGAAGGATAAAGAAAAAATCCTGGAAAATAAAAGCTTAGTTTGTTGTAGAGCCACACTGGAAGCGCTTGTTCACAATGTCAAAGTCGATTTTTTTCGTATTGGTCAGATGAAACAAAAAAACACGAGTTAAAGGTTTATTAGGTTTCAATATGTCTTACTGAACTTGATATTTTGACAGTATCCTCCATTGCAGAGTAGTCAATTGGTATGAAGTGAACTTGAAACTATGAAATCTGCCTCTCAACCTCGTGAAAAAAATCAAGCACGGCATTTTCCAACAAAGGCAAGTTGTTGTTTTTTGCACTTTACATATGAGTATATTCAAAGCATTTGAATGGGGTTTTCCACTTGAGTGGCAGTGGTTTGGACTGTAATTTTACAAAATGGATTGGCGCCCATTGTACAGCTTAAGACAAAAAGCTCTGTTTCAACGCTGATAATCCAGCTTGGCACTTAGTAGACTGTATATAAATCTCTAATGCTGTCTTTCTCTGTATATAATTTGTCCTGGCTTTTCCTTCTTCTTCTCCGTCACATTTCACTGTATTAGAGCTCAACAAATCCATGTGGCATCAAAACTGCAAGACAGACAATCATTTTCTCTTTGTTTCCCTTCCAAAAAAAAAATTTCATCAACCTCACTTGTTTCTCACAAATTACATGAAAGGCTTGTGTGAGCAGTTTCTCCTCGCGCAGATCTCACAGGGAACACTCAGGCTCTGTACGGCGAGCACACAGGGGGCTATAGGATGAGAACTGAGCTTAGCTGGGACAGCTTTGAAGTGAGATGCAGTAAGAGGTTATTATACCTTCAGAACCTTCTGACAGATGCCCAGCAATATATTGCATTTGGCACCGGGAAGACTGTCAAGTATGACTTTTTTAAATGTATTTTCGCTAGCATGTTTGAGTGCAGGATGACATTTTTTCACCGTAATATCAGCAGCAGCAGCCAATTACAGAGTGAATTACAGTATTTTTTTATTTTGCATATATTATGCATCATTTTACATGCAAAGCCTCAGAAGTCAAACAACTCTCCATTCAAGATTCTTATTAACGCCTACATTTAGCATGCCTCTTAAACAAAACAAATTTGCTTTCTTGTCCAAATGGTCCATTTTTACTTTTTTTTATGGCGCTCCTGCACTGATCCAAGCATAATGCATTTCCCCTGTGCACAGCACACAGCAAACAGATAAATATATGATAGGCCAGCCTTCTGTCCCCCCCCCTCATGGCAGCAGCCACAGTGGGCATGAGAGTACCACAGGAAGCGAGAGCCATGTCAGTCTTTGGGAATCAAAGCCCATGAGAGGGCAAAGTCTGGCCCCGTGTGCACCTGCGGACGCCTCTCCGGCTGGTGCTGGCGGGGTTCTGTTTGCCTGCACGGCACAGATGCCAGGGCATGACAGATGAATCAACACAGAGAACCCAGAACAATTACAAGAGGTTGCTGCCCTTTCCCTAATAGAACAAAGAAACCCTCTTAGAGTGGAGGATGCTGGGTAGTTTATTATTCAGAGAATGCTAAAGACTAGCCTGTAAAACAGTGGGCAGTTGTGAAGTCAGAGGCAGAGGTTATGAGCAGGGTGAAATGAAGACTGGCTGGAAAGCGTCTGTTATGACTTCTCTGCCCGCTGGCCATATTATATTTATTTCTGCTCAAAATGTTGTTGTTTTTTCTTGGTCTAAATAAACTGGGGGAAAAAATGGATGAATAATGGCTGAGCAATAGTGTTGCAAATATCCTGCCTATGCCTGCAAAAGGGTGGTTTACATGAGGCTATTCAAAGTCTCCCTCTTTGTATGATAGCTGTTTAGGTCAGCGGTGGAATGCATTAGGTTGGGTGCCATATGAAAATCCAATTGATCATAATCAAAATAACCCTTTCTCTACTGTGTAAATGCTTTCCGTCACGCTGTTCCTCTCTCTTTCTCTCTCACTCCTTTTTTTCTTTTCTACCAATCAATACCTTGTTAGTACTTTAATAAGAAACAACGGAAAAGGAAAGAGGCCTGGAATAAATTGTATTTGCAAATAAACCTCAGAGTTTGCTTTAGCCTGCAGGGCACTCTGAGAACTCATGCAGTTTAGTTTGCAGCGTATAGTGTACGATAAGTCACAGAGAATTGAAAGAAACACAGAAAGGCATTTGAAAGTCAAATGAGTACGCTTCTCTGTGATTGGTTGACTTAGTTTTGTAATCCAAATAATGCAAACTAGTTTTGCAAATACTACACAAGCCAGGTCTGAAAAAGTACTTCAATAAGATGGTCATTACAAGAGTTTGTATTAATAGTAAACCATACTGTAAGCATAATTGTAATAAAAAGACAACATGTAAATTCTACTGGGTGAACCGTTATTTTCAGGCAGTGGCCCTCCTGTATCTAAGAAAAAAAAAAAGAGAAATGGTTGTATTTTAACTGTACTGGTCTGTGAATCTATGATGCTTTTGCTCTGTATATTTGGAGAATAAAAAATGATGTTTGAGTTTGTGTTTAAGCTGCTGTTTCTGTCAGGGAAAATGAAAGCGATTCAAGTCGAGGATTCACATGGGACGCATGCTTTAACTGCAACATGAGCGAACATGTTCATGTACATGAACATTGCTCAGATGTTCAGACAGATATATCTTTCCTGATTTACAAAATCGCAACTCAAGACTTCACAAGAACTTCAGCGGTTCTCACTGAGAGGGAGATACTACTTTAGTAGAAAGCATATCTGTAAAAGGAAAGTAAATAGGTTTGTTAAGAGACCAGAATCAGAATCAGAATCAGAATTGGGTTTATTGCCAAGTACATTTACACATACAAGGAATTTGACTTGGTGTATTGGTGCTAAACAATTTACAGGGAAATACAGATGCAGTTTTACTCGTGTGTTTTCTCTGCAATGACCAGCCTTTATGAAAACCCCTAACCATCGCTACAAAAAAATACAACTTACAACTAAATTCTCATGAATATTACACCAGAACATGCATAGTTGATGAGAGAGACAAAAAATAAATCATTAAAAGCCAAGGTGAGACATTTTACAACACCTTAAGGGAGTGCACAAAATGTATGTGCTTCTGCTTCACATATACAAGAAAAAATATTTTTATTGCTTCAACACGATCTGAGAAAAAGTTCATTAATTAAAATTTAAAAACTAAATTTTAATACCTACTGTAGATATGTACACGCATACCATGGACCGCTTTTCTCTCTTAAGCCTGGATAACATTCAAGGTCATGTTTTTGCATTGAGAGTGGACTGTGTATTTATATTTTGTAAATTGAAAAAACCTCAAGGAAAGCAGTTCGAAGGTTATTGAGCCACAAAAGTCTTTATGCAAACACAGACCTTAAATCTGGGGAATTGAACAGCTATTTTAAGTGTAAAAAGTTATATTATTAATGGTACACTACGTACAAAGATCAGCGTTTATGCTTAAACTGCTTCATTTGGGCGCTGGTGGCCTATAGGGGGTTCGTTTGCATTCCCCATGTGCCGGGGGCTTTGGTCCTCAAGGCGGCCTGGGTTCGAGTCAACTCAGTGGCTCCTTTCCAACATGTCATTCCCTACTCTTTCTCCCCTCATTTCCGGCTCTATCCACTGTTCTAGCTGTCTAATAGAGGCATAAAAATACCCCAAAATAAATGTTAAAAATGACTATGCATCATTGTTGTTTTCTGGTCCAATCAGCAGTTATCTAAAGGGACACATTATACTGTATGAGTCACCACTGGGCTATTTCAATTGCAGTCACTGTAAATTTGGAAATGGGAAATTTGTGTCAATGAACAATAATATCTGCAATTCTGCCATGACACTGTGTTGCATGCCGGTGATAATGGTGGTGAGACTGCTGCTCAATCACCTCCCCCCCCCGATATATTTTCCCAAGCAGTCAGCAGATTCACATCATTACATTTACAAGCAGCCCTTTAATCCATTAATAGGGCCGTTGCAGTCTTACTCCAAATGAAATGCACACACATAAACACCTCAGTTTGTCTCAAGCACTGGCTCCATTCCTGCAGTATACAGAGAAGTGATTTGAATCCCTCCATGCATCGAGTCAATACAATGCAAGGGCAATTTCTCTCTGGCTGGATTAATCCACTTGCAGGCTGCCTGGAAATGTAGCTTTTCTGAAGTCCCACATCAGAAACAATGCTTTCATTTGTGAACACTAGTGTGGTTTGGAAGAAGAAAAAAAAAAGTGTAAGCATTTTCAGTGCGACACATTAAACCAGAACGCAAGACAGACAAAAGGACTGAGCCTACAAAAAGGTTACCTCAAAGCAAGTGCTATAACACAGTCTTGGTCTTGATATTGAGAATCCATCTGCCACTGACATGATTTCCCTGGAAATGCTTTGCATGGCGAATTAAAAAAAAATGCTTGTGTTTTGCAAACATTATACAAATAGCAGCATTTGTGATGGATTTGACTAATCATGGAGATCCAACTCATTACTGAACAGATCTAGGCCAGACATTTGCTTACAGTATCGCTTTAAACACTCTCCTTGGAACTAGTTATTGGAAGGCACTAATCATTCATCTGCTGCCTCGCCTGACAGAGTGAAAAGCCTGCTGCGCTCCCTCTGTGCCTCACCTCTTCCAAAGAGATACAGTATTACTCCAGAATGACACCTAAATGACTGCATCCGTTTTTAAACGAGCAGCTACAGCAGGCTTCCCTGTCATGAATTACCTTTGCAGATAATTGCATTCGGAATCCAATTTAGCAAAAGCCAAATTTTTTTTAGAGGGAATAGCAGACTAAGCTTTTAGTGGTGCCGACACACTTCATTACAGAATTGTCCAGCTGCAGGTATTCACTTGGCGCGAGGAAACTAAAGTGATAGCAGGTACGGCACAAACTGTCTCCGACTAAACAATCATCTTTTGTCGAGGTCATCGCGCCGTTGTGTTTCCAGCCGAACATTAACATTCAGACTAAATGTATCTTGTTCTCGCTCTGCCTTGGCAGTCTGATTGGAATGTCAGTCAAACTTGTTTATAGTCTCTCCACACTGTAAACCATATGGTCTCATCGCTAGCTGAAAAAGTGAGTTGAGTGACATGCTGAAGCAAAAAACTCCCCACTGCTGCTTCCTTGATGCAATTGCCTATGAAATGCCTCCTTTATAGTTGTTTGTTTATTAGAGACAGCTGTTTCAGCGGGGAAACTCATTCAACCAACATCTGTCTTTTAGAGACATGTGCCATCATGAAAGGATCTGCGACGCAGGAATAAAACATTCCATCCAGTAGCAGCACATCAGGTCACTGTACAAATTACTGTGGTATTACAAGGTGTTGCATTTAAATCTAATGCCTTCATTCCACCTGTTCGTGGCTTTTGATGGGGAAACTTTGTATATCTTCCAGTCTGGGCAGGTTTGTAGCATTTGGGCTAACGTAGCCTCTGGATGCTGTCACTCATCGGAGCTGCATTATTTAAAACAAGAGGACATGTTTCTGTCTGTGCATCAGACATCCAGGCTGTGAGCACTGCAGGAATTAAATAACCCGTAAACAGTAATAAGCAAGTTACAGTTACTAGTTACTACTACCTAACTTAAGCATTACTTTTTTTTGCTTCAATCCTCATATTTATGTGCCCATTATTTAGTGTTGCCGTGACAGTGTGAGAGGAAACAACTCTCACATTCATATACCGTATTTTCCGCACTATAAGGCGCACTTAAAAGCCTTTAATTTTCTCAAAAAACGACAGTGCGCCTTATAATCCGGAGCGCCTTATATATGGATCAATTGGTTAATTGGTTGATCCATACTGGTTGTACACGGCGCTCAGCGACACTGACTCGGATAATGACGAGAGGGAGCCGGGCATGTTGGATGCCGTACTCGCCCAACTGTTCAATTCGGACACTGAAGAAGAAGAATTCGAGGGATTCGTGGACGGGGAATGAACTGAAAAAGTGAGCTTTACGTGTTATACGTAACTGAACAATGTTGAGTTATGCACTAACGCAGGGGTGCCCAACCTTTTTTGAACCAAGATCTACTTTTAAAGTTACCAGTCTGCAGAGATCTACCAGTCCACATAGTGAGCCATAGCCTTTACCAACAGCCTACAAACGCATTTAATACTCACACAACAAACAGAAAATAATAAATGAGAGTTCTGTAAAAAATAATGCAGACTACAGACTACAGCAGGCTGCTGTGAGATGATTTTGCTTTTGTTAAATTAGCTGCAGACACGGTGAGAGTGAACGGAGTAAAGTCCAACCGACTGTTTGACCGGGTCACGTGTGTTCCCACCTTGGTCCGTACGGATCACGGATCAACTGTGTGCTGTAGCACTAAAAGTAAAAAGTAAAAAGGTTCGCGTGGTGGCTGGCGCTCCAGTGCAAGTGTGTGTGTGTGTGTGTGTGTGTGTGTGTGTGTGTGTGTGTGTGTGTGTGTGTGTCTCGTGCCCCGCGATGCTCACAGTCATGACAGCAGAGAGGAGCAGAGAAAAGTAGCTGCAGCTTCATCAAATGCGCTTAATACTCGTAGCATAGTTTCTATATATGACTTTTTGGTAAAACATTTACCCCCCCCCCCCGGTTTTACCTGCACGTCATTGCGCATGCCTGCACTCTCTCTCTTGCGCTCTCTCTCTCTCTCTCTCTCTCTATCTCCGCCGCTCGCTCTCTCATGCACGCAGCAATTTCATGAATAAATGAAAAATTAAATACACACAGGTCGGAAGTATACTTGGGCTCCCAACACAGGTATCGTGTGGGGGAAACACTGCAATGAGATGAAATTGAAATCACTTTTCTATTTTACAATTGTATTTTATATTGACAAAACATCTCGATCGACTGAGAATCAGTCAGCGATCTACCTGTCGATCGACTGTTTGGGCACCCCTGCACTAACGTTTGAATTAGCGGTATCAGACTGTGTTTCTTTTACGTGTTTACAACTGAACAAGGCTGGGAGATATTGTGAATATGCACATTAACGTTTGAACAACGTTGAGTTATTGTGAATGCACTACGTATAAAACTACGTTTTGAGAGTTAAGAGAAACGTCAAAGAAATAATTTATTATTTGTACTTTTGTTTTTGTAGTTTTATACGTTACGTTTTATACGTATTTATATTTATATATTCACAATATCTCCCAGCCTTGTTCAGTTGTAAACACGTTCTATTCTATGCGCCTTATAATCCGGTGTGCCCTATATATGAAAACAGTTCTAAAATAGGCCATTCATTGAAGGTGCGCCTTATAATCCGGTGCGCCTTATAGTGCGGAAAATACGGTAACATTATAGCCATTTTCAACATGTAGGTATTTTGCTCATTATTTCTGTGAAGGCTACAGACTCAACAGCTGATATGAAGCATGTCATCAACAAAATACCTGTCTATCAGTCTGTTTGGTCCTGGCTTACTCATCATGGAGCTGGTGGTGATTTAAAATCAAGCCTCGGCCTCGTCTGTTTGGATGGAGTGGATCCTTC